AGTTGGCGCTCTTCCTCGTGCCACATGCCTAAGACGGCGCGAGTCAAAAACGCGCCCGCGCGTGCGGGCGCGCCCGGCAAGGGGAGGGACGCGGACACGCGTGGCGTCGGAACCAGCGCGCACGCCCCCTCACCGCGAGCCCAGACCAGGCGAACTCCGAGAAAACCGAGAGCCGAAAACGAACTAAGACCATCCCCCTACCGACCTTTCGTACGAGCAGATGACCGATTAGCCTTGTGGACCGCACCGAACGCGATAGCTTCGCGGCAGAACCTATTGGGGATTGTACCGCAGAAAGACATCGAAAAAGTATTCATGCTAGTGTTGAATCGACTGGAGCCCGCGACACGGAAATGCTACGGAGCCGGCCTGCTGAGGTACCATCAATACTGCGACGACCGCGAGATAGCCGAAGACGCGCGTTTCCCAGCATCAGACATCTTGATGGCCTGTTTCGTCGCGAGTCACGCGGGTCAGAAGTCCCGGTCTACCATCGACAACTGGGTTGCGGGGATCGGGTACTGGCACACCATGAACGGCGCGACCTGGAAATACACCGACATGCGGCTGTTGAAGGCAGTATGCGAGGGGGCAACAAAATGCGCGCCCCGGGGAAAGGACCCGCGGCCACCGGTTACCGTCGCGCACATGCAAGCGCTGCTCCGGCGGCTGGACCTGACTGACACGTTCGACGCCGCAGTCCTGGCAGTGGCGAGCTGCGCGTTCTGGGGGTGCAGACGGTAAGCGCAGACGACGCGCGAAGATCGCGGGCTAACACACACACACAGGCTAGGAGAGCTGACCATTCCGTCAGCGGGAGCATTCCGCGCGGACAGGCACGTCGCGCGCGGGGTGGCAGTCAAGCGAGGCACAGCCACGACAGGTGGCGCCTTCGCGTCTTTCCACATTCCGTGGACGAAGTCAACCAAGCGGCAAGGGGCGGACGTCATCCTTCGGGAGACTGATGTAGAGCCATCACCAGTGAAGGCGCTCACGCACCACCTCCACCTCAACAGCGCAGTGCCGACGGACGCCCCACTCTTCGCGTTTGAGACCCCCGGGGGGACCTGGGCACCAATGACGCGCGACTGGTTCTTAGCGAGATGCCAAGCCGCTTGGAGAGACGAGGGCCTCCCGCCTCTGACCGGGCACTGCTTCCGGATCGGCGGCACGACGGAGTGGCTCATGAGGGGGACAAATCCGGACATTGTGGCGGCGCTGGGCAGCTGGCAGTCGCGCGCTTTCCTCAAGTATTGGCGTAGTATCGAGTGCATTGTACCACTATTCCTGTCCCAGGCGTCGAACTCGGCGAGGGTACTAACAGCGGCAGACTCCATGAAAAAGTGGACTAAGGCCAAAAAACTGTAATTCATACTGTCACGCTCACTGTTTGGGTGAGCCGCGGCTCGGTTTCCGCGACTGTTGGTGTTCGCGTTGGGTTAGTCGCGGCATCCCTCGCGCGGGCGGGAGCGTATCCGTGGGAAGCGGATCGATTGGTTGCAATCGAGCGGGGGTGGGAAGGACCGGGAGGGATCGCGACTCACACTCGCGTTCTGCCCAGCATCGGGCCCGACCTTCCCGGACGGGCGCTCCGCTTTTCCCTCCCGCAGACCAAGACCGAACACGTGGGGCGCTACAGTGACCAGAGCGCCCCTCGGCCATCGTTTCCCCTCACTGCCGGCTTGCCACAAGGTTCCCACCACGCAACTAGGAAGCGCTCGAGCCCCGCCCTCACGCGCACGGCTCGCATAGAATCTTATCAGATAACTTCCCCACCCGTTGGCGTGCCCCCGCGATCAGGCGCCCATCCCTGGCTCTTTCCCTTCCCCCGCCCAACGCAAGCTGAGCCCACTCCGCGCGCACGAGTCGACGGGCCCTTGGAGACTCGACCGCAACCCGTTGGACACTGCCCGTGCCCGGGGCGGCCTCGCGTGGGACGGTGCGGACGTGTCGCTCTCAGCCCGTCTGCGGCGTTTTCAGCGGGCGTTCCCAGCACCGGCACCGAACGGGAACCCCGCACATGCCGTCGATCCTCCCCATCCGACCGCCTGAACACGAACCCATTCTAGCGCAAGCGAGAGAAGTGGGACAACGTGTAGGTGCTGCTTCAGCCCAGCGGTATTTCTGTAAGTGTATCTTCTCTCGTGCGAGGGCTGACGTGCAACGCACTCAGAATCGTTCTTGCACGCTATCCATCCTTGTCGCCACGACGTATGCGGTCTTCATACTTGCACCAACCTATGATCATGATACAATGTTCTTTATAACGCGGGTCGGGGCCGAACGAGAGCGCATTACCTAAGCGTGTATAAGATGACCGCGGCGGCACACCATGGAAGGGTGAGCTCCGCGATGATTGCATCATGGTTACTTACCACTCCTTTCAGATATCAGGCCGGTGACGCACCACCGCACGGCGTCCCAAATCGCCACCAACCTCGCCTGAAAACACGACGCTGCCAAGGACGGATGCGATTCCGTTTGTCGCACCAGCACGCGCGGGGTTGATTCATCTCCAGACCGTCCCAATTCGTCAATGCGCACTGCTCTTCCCCGTGTTCAAGCCGGCCAGGGCCGTGCGCCGTCGCCGCTGCGTTCCCGCACCGACAATCGGCGCCGTGGACTGGGCAGACACCGCCAAACTGCCGGGCAGACACGTCCTCGAGTTCGCCTCCGCCACGTCGGACGCCTGAAACTGCAGTCGCGTCCCATTCTCAGGCCGACGGACCTTCCGCGGAGAGCGAGGATGGGCGAGGTGTCTCACACAGACCTCTTGATAACGTGCAGAAGACCTCGCCGACTGTCACCGCACGGCATCCCACTGTGACCCACGCGAGGGTTCGGCAGGGGGAGTCAATCGACTGCTGTTGTACGTATAGACGACGCCGTTCCTCGACGGAGAATATATACCATGTGTTTCCTCGGCCTGCAGACCGTTGATGTGACACCAACTCTAGTACCGTGTAGACAGGGGGTGAGGGCGAGAGAGCGGGCTAGAGCGTAAGCGTGCAGCCCAGGAAGTCGAGAGAAGGGAAAGAAGAAGCAAGATAGACGCGCCGCGAGGGCGGCGAACGCGAAGGAGACTAGGACGGGGGAATAGACGCTGGGAGCACGAGGTCGTGCGCACTGGCGCGGGCGAGATTCTTGAGATACGAGGGTGGGGGCAAAGTCGAGGTCGCAAGAGTCGGCGAAGTCGAGGCGAGGCGCGGCGAAGTGGAGACGAAGTGTGGTGAGCACAATGCCCAGGCGACGGCGGCGGGGAAGTGAACTAGATAGACACAATTCGAGCAGCCTAACCCTATGTACATACAGAGCGAGCAGGGCGAGGACGTATCGACGAGACGAGACCACACGGATGCCAAGAAACGAGAACGTGCCGAGCCGGGACCGATTTTGGAACAGTGACGTGGGCGATACAGCGGAAGAGGTTCGAGAGAGAGCATGTATGTGGGCGGATGGGGAGCGGGGAAGAGCGAACGACGAAGGGAACGAAGGGGGTAGATACGGAGAAACGAAATATATCGAAAATAAAATCGCGAGAAGGAAAGATTGCCGTGGCGGGCTGGCGGTGGCGATCGAGTATGCGCGGTCATGCACGGAGGCCGCGAGAGTGTGCGCAGGGCGCCGCGGTGCGTATGCATGCATCGCGTCTTGACGAGTCCATAAGCTATGCCTGCGGAGTGATCCCGGGGTGCCCGCGGGCAGATCGCAAGAGCTGCGCGAGGCGGGATGGACGAGGCGGGTGAAAACGAGGGCCGGGTCGAGGGTGTTGGGCCCGTGCTCTGCGCTGGAAGTACAGCGGCAGCGCGTGCGTATCACTGCTCGAAAACGCGCGAATCCCCTGGCCTCGTCCGTCGCCGGGGGCGACCGCCGTTCCTGCGCGCGCGCGAGGTCCCCAAGGGTGTGTTCTAGGTGAGAGTCGAAGACGAGAGGTCTATGGGAGGGATGATCCGTGTCGAGGAGGACGATGCGGGGCTGCAGAGGGGTGTGCGGGTGCTGACGCCGGCGGACGTGGGGTAGGGACGTTCATGAACCTCGAATCGACGTCTTCAGCGTTGGGATGGAGTGCGAGGGACGTGGCCAGTCGCTGAGAAGAGCAGGGTGTGCCATCGGGGGAGGGGCATGTCTCGGGACGGGGGAAAATACCAGAAATATTTGGGATGGCGCATGAGCGGGCGGGATTGGAGAGACAACTGGTTCCCGAAGGAGTGCCACCCATGCACCTCCACCTCCACTTGGGTCTTCCGCACGAAATCAGGAAAAGCACCTCCCAAAATCTCCACCACGCGTGCGCTCATCACATTGACCGCGGTGCGCTGTGCCAAATCATCCTTCCCGATCTCCCAGCCACGCCCCACATCAGGAAAAAGCGCGCCGCGCGAGAGCCCCGGCCCGGACTCGGGATCGCACGATTGTTGCCAGTGATGGCCGGGAGAGCGCTCGAGCGCTCGAGCGTAATGACTGATGATACCGAGGTCGCCCGAGCAGCGGCGAGCACCACGGTGAGCTCGCGAGCTTTCTGGAGTTGCAGCGGCTGCTCGCGACACCTTGGGAGCCACAGTTGGCTCCTACCGAGCTCTCGCGTGTCTGAGTGACACCACGAGAGGACAGTCGAGATGCCCTCAGCGCACGGGATACCCCAGGAGTTCGGTGAAGAAAATTATTTACAGCGTGCACACATTGATCGTACTACTTATATAACACTAACAGAAGATACGTACGCCACCGCTTCCTGGGTTGAGGCGTGCAGGAGCGAATTTCCACGAGGGCTTGCCACCGTGCGCGAGGAGCACTAGCAGAATGCCGCGCTGCTCGAAGCGCGCTCCGCGGGGCTCCTCGCAGCCCAGGTCTTTCTCACCTGCGTGGACGACGTCACAGGCGGGTTATGTCGCGTGCATATGTAGTTACAAACCTGTGTCTTCCAGATCGCCGCCACGGTCACAGATGCGTCACAGAGCCGCTGTGGGGCGGGGGATGATGAGGATGAGGACGCGGCCTGCATGTCGTTGGTGTCTGTGGGAGGGCTAGGCCGAAACATCGGGAATGCTCTCGACACCGGCGACAACGCACGAGTCAAAGTCGCGCCCCAGAGCGTCATGACCACGTATGCCTGCCGCCTGTGCTTGATGCCGGGCTGCGCGGGTGAGAAGGAGCTTGAGGAGGCCTACGCGAGCATAAAAACGCAAGGTACGCACATTATCTTGTCTCCACGCCCTCCGGCCGCTTTTCCAGAATGGCCTCCGCCGGCTGTGCGAGTCCGAGAATGGGGAGAGCGGTGAGGCAGCAGCCGAGGTTTTGCACGCTTTCGCCACGGTTCTCCGCGCGTGAGGGGTGGACCTAGCTCCGACGCGCTCCAAACCGTCGTCCGCCTTGTGTTTGAGTTCTGGCGTGCGGTGGGCGAAGCGATTGCTTTGCGCGAACCCCTGGTGGTCTCTGTGGGCGCGCAGGAGGCATTCGACTCGGCGAGAATGAAGGATGTGTGGGAGGGCCGAAGAAAGGAGGTACGGCGCGGGTTCGAGACGGCGCACCAGTGACTAGATCTGATGCGCGCATATCGCGGCACGATACTCTCGCGTGAATATGGTAGCTTCTTCCCACGCACTGACCAGTTGCCCAGCGCGCCTTCTTGCGCTCTGCCAGCTGGCGTGGACTTCATCTCTTCCTTCTTCGCCCATGTCGAACTGTCTCTCTCTCTCTCTCTCCACCTCGTTTGCTCGCACCTCCGCGTCCTGCAATTCCTTGTGAGTAAGTCATCCCACAATTTGTGCTATACATGCATTATCTAACTACTGTTCTCCGCTCATGCCTGCGGTCACTACTTGGCAACAGCCCCACAGTTGTACGCCATCATGGTGTACCACTGCCCACGGCTAAGCCCAAATGTGCTATCTGCCCTCGAAGTTGAGGAGATGGAGAATGGACAGTGGTACGTCGCAGCCGTTGTGACCAGTATGCGTGGAGCTGATAAATTTTATGTGCGTTGCAAGATCGTCAAGCTCTTCCTCACCCCGCTTCTCCACCTGGCTCCTCTGGAGCCTCCTCTTTTGAAGCCAATGATCATGGTTGTCCTTGCGCCCCAGTCGGCCTACGTATTGTGAGTTCCGCCGTGCACGTTGATGGTAGTAATCATACGCTGACCTCCGGCTTATAGATATCGTACACTCGGCCAGGCTCTCCGCGCTCGGCTCCACGCCCCAGTTTTCTGGCAGAACACCGTTCTCCTCTTCGAGCGCGGTGGCAGCAAGGCCTTGCTTGTCGAACCCTACTTCGCCACCCCTATCGCTGAGCACGCGTCGAGCATCCCGCACGTATCTTCGCTCGCGCTCGCGGAGCTCGACACGCTCGCCGCTGCGCGTCCGCTGGATGAGTGTGTGCTCGGCGCGGTGCACGTACACGACATCGCCACTCTCGGTTGGTGGACACCTGTAGTGGGTCGACCGATGCATGTATTATAGTTACAGAGAGCGGGACTGTATTACCACATCTACTTCATCAATATATTTTGTTTTAAACACATCTGGTAGCGGAGAGAAACAGATACGGGATGTGAACATTATCGGGAGTGCTTATCATACTCAAGAAGCCTCTCGAGCACTCTCGAGACAAAACTCGAAGCTGCTCCGGAGTGCTCGCCGAGCTGGCGGCTGTGTCTCCCGAGCCCCCGCGAGGCGCCCTGCCAAGCTCGCGCGCCTCGAGAGAAGGGGACTTGTCACGCCGTGCTCGAACTGCTCTCGAGCCTCGGGTGCACTCCCGAGACAGGTCGTTTTTTCCTGATGCATGGACAGGATGAAGATTGCTGTCTTCATCTCCGAAAATGGGGCGCACGATGTGAGCACTCCGAGTTTTTTGAGGGCTACCGGTGACGGGCCAATGAGGGCCCCCACAGGAAGGAAGAATTGTATGTTTTGCAGACGAGGACTACTCCCTTGCACGAGTTGGCACGCGAAGTCGAGCAGTCTCCCTTCCTGGCAAGTTTCGCTAGCCGCGATTGTGAGACTTTCAACATATGGTAAGTTTGAGAGGTGGGGAAGGTCTGGGCGGCGCAATTCAGTGCTGTCAGCATACATAGTGTAGGGCAAGGTAACCGGCAGTCATACCGAGAATAGACTTGGCTTGGAGGGTGAGGTTGTTGACAACCATCATCAGTTTGCGAAGAGCGACGGTACGGAGATCGGTGAAGAGACCTGGAGTTGGCTTTGTATAGGAGCGGAACCGCAATTCCTTGAGGGATGTGTGTGACGGAGTACTTGCCAGGTAGTGTAGCAGGACGCTCTCGTGACATTCATGCCCTGATAAATAAGTCACATGAAGAGAGGTAAGCGCCGGCCTTTTGCAGGAGTATGCTATAGTCATGGTATCGATCGGAGAGATGGGGAAGAGGACGTGTGATATTTGGAGTCCGTGCAAGTTGGGGATGGTGGTGAGGGTGCGTCGTAGGAGCGAAAAGGACGGGAAATGGCAGTCGCTCAGAACCAGAGTGTCGAGCGCCATAAATGCTGAGAGGCAGGCGATGCTTTGCGTCGGAGTGTTCCAATTGATACCTGATACGAAGAGCACGAAGATAGCTGGAATCCGAACAACCATAGAGGCAAGCAGTGCACCGAGCGATGGTGAGTGGTCTTTCTGTGGCATGGACCCACGGACCGCTATTAGGAGACGCCGATGCATTACTGTTGGATCAAGAGTGGGAAAGAACCGTGTGACGAAGATGTAGGCGTTCTCGAGGGTAAGGAACCCGGGTTTGGCACTGAGGGCGTATTTGCTGGCTGTTCGCCAGGTGTGGGAAACCAGGGTGCATTGGAGGAGCGTCTTTCTGTCCGCTCTTGGATCGAGGTATTTTATGATCTCGTCTGAGATCTCCGGAGGAACGCGGGGAGACTGTCGGCTGGGGTCGATGGCCATGTCGTGGAGGGTGCAAAGGACGAGGGAGGAAGGGGATGATGGTCGATGATCGATGAGTCGATGCATATGCTGATGCCCGCTCGGCCCGGGTCAACGCGCGTTTACCTGCGTTTATGGGCTACCTCTAACAGTCCTGAGAGCACAAGCCGCCGTGGGGAAGAATCGGAACCTGGCCGTGTTCTTTCGTCGCCGACTCGCGAACGAGCATCTGGCGGCGCAGGCTCTCCGCTAGACCCGGGAAGGCTGGGCAGTCTGTGGCCCGTGGATCCGTAAAAAATCCAAGGGTGGTTGTTTCTCCAGATGCGTACCGATACTCCGCATGAGGGAGGCGCGGCAGTGGATGGGTCTGGTTGGAGAGTGGGTCTGGTCGTAGAATGTCCATGTGGCACCCCCCACGCCCCAATTTTTCGTTCACTCGCATACCATACATGTCAAGTGCTTCACTCCCATCCGAGCTCATACTACCGCGAAAAGCGACTGTGTGCGCTGCAACGCCTTCACGACATCCGCATGTGTTCCTTCGTGATTTGCCATCGGCGGGGTGCGCAGACTCGGGCGTGAGCACGGAGCGCGTGTCGAGCACCACACCTGCGGCGCCCAGGGCGAGGTGCGACGCGATTTGTGCGCCCGTGGCGACTCGAGCCTGCTTGCGGCGAGGACGGGCAGACCGGACGGACCCACTTCGGGAGGACCTCAGAGACGAGCGTGAAAGCGGGAGGCGCGGCCGCGCCCGCCCGACTCGTTCCCGGAACGAGCCGATAAATCCGACGCCGATCGGTGTGGGCGCAGCGGGCGCGGTGCCAGGGATGGACGCACGTGCTGCCTTCAGGTCTGCCGCGAGCTTCTCGTGGGCATAGCACGCTGGGGGCGGATGGGCGGGGTCAGTGAGACTGGACGATCGAATGCGTGGGGCAGTGAGGTGGCACTGGTGCCTGCACTGACGGAACCGAAACCGCCGCCCCGTGTGACTTTGACCTGACAGACAGAGGCGAGTCGAGGGGTTTATTAATGCGTATATGCACATAGCACCGCAAGGGCTGTAGGAGCCGCATGCCTGCCATCGCGGCAGATACGATCGGCACACGACTATACACGGGCGGGCCACCTCAGCAAGCAACGTCCGTGGTTTGCGGCTGTCGATCTCGTCGGGGGAACCGCGCTCGTGTCGGCGCCGGTCCACCACCACTTGCCTGCAGGACCGGCCAGATCGCTTCCCCGTGTTCGTGTGGCTCGCGCCCGCCCAGCCCATATGCGGTCGACGGTGTGAAAAATCGGGCGATGGACGAAGGGAGCCGCAGAGGCGAAGGGACGCCGAACGACGGACAGAGTGTCAGATAGGACGACGGTGGTAGACGGGATGATATCAACCTGGCTAGACAATACGGCGGCATAGTGCTGTAGAGTACAATGCGTGGGAACATGGTATACATGACTAAGCGTAATGATCGTGCCTCGGATGAGGGCCTACCGGAACAAGTACTTACTAGAAACCAACAGATCTCGAACGGGTAAGGAGGCCACCGGAGAGAGCTCTTCGGGCACTGGAAGCTCTCGACCGCCCGTACGGTGCGAGACTCGTTGAGAAGGTGCGCTGGCCATCGTTGGCAGCGATCGTAACTTCAGGTCGGCGCTACTACTAAGATCGTTCACATATGGCGGTGTGCGGGCGCGTTCAATTTGCCAGCAACCAAACTCTGGCAGAACACAGAGAGGTCCAGTGAGCGTTCACCTCAACGTATCAGAGCAGAAATCCAGCCACGAGAGCATCGGTCTTCAGCTTACATCGTTTGAAGGCTGGGCCCACTGTGGTGCTTACGTAGCAGCCAGGCCTGGTCCGACTGTGCATGATCAGCTGGAGTCTGGACAGTGGAATCCGCTCGACGCGGACTGTCAGCTAAACAAAAGGTCCGACAGCCACGAGCTTCTAGCTTCTCGTTCCTGAGCCGACCGTATCCGGACCCCGCGGAACCGCAGGCAAAAGGGACCAGGGGCGCACGGCCTCGGCGCTCTTCTGTCCCTCGTCGGATCTGGGCGACACATCACTGATAGCGAGCACGGCGCTGAGATTTGCCTCCGTGTCTGTGCACGCCTGGAACATACGTGTGAAGGTTCGCGATTAACCATCCCCCGGAGTGCGACCGCGGATGCGATCCTGCGCGGCGCGCGCGCACGGTACGCACGGCGATAGCACCGTCCGTGCTCGATCACGGGTCGCGCGCTGGGCCCGACGCCTCCAGGTCCAGTGCTAGTCACTGGTGCTAGTGCTCGCGCCCCTGCGCGCGCAGCGACGGGCTTACACAATGCTGAGCGCTGATGGGCCTGGAGCAGTGACGCAGCGGGCGGGTTGTGTTCCACTGGTGCGCGCAGCGGACCCCGGAGCCGGGAATGAGTACGTACGGCAGCGCGACGTCGGTGACTTACGTGTGCTTCACCGGAACCTGACGGGAGACAGGGCGTGCGCGACTGCAGCTTCCAAGGTGGCGTGACAAGAAGACCGTACGGTACAGTACAGTGATACTACAACATTATAAGGCGCGGGGGGGTGGGCGTGGGCGTGGGCGTGGCTAGCAAGAAGCGTGCATGCAGAGCGAGGGGGCGTGACGAGGGGAGAGCGTACAGAGCGTGAGGGAGAGGTTGGTGAGAGGGAACGCGGCGGAGAAATGGCGGAGGCTGGGAGGGTACTAGTACAGCGGCTGCGCGCCGAAACAGTCTACGTCTACTCAGACATCGGACAGCGTCCGGGATCGGGGGCGCAAGATGGGGGGAGGCGCGCGGACTAGAAAGCGTTGATGATATCCGCCGTGCCTGGCTGGCGCGGCGAGATCGTGCAGGGAAAGAGCTCGGGGCGGCTGGCGGGAGCGGCGAGAGGCGTCAGCCTGCAGGTACGGCCGCGCGGGTGGGAGAACGGAGACGCACCTGATGCCCCCACGCGTCATCGCGCCGGACGGGATTATCTCCTTCCCGTGCACGTCGCGCGCATACGACATCTCGAAGAGCGCGAGGATGCGTGATGCGCTGAGGAAGAGCATCTCTTCGCCGATGAGCCGGCCGGGGCAGTACCTGCGCGCACAGAAGGCGATCAGCATGCAGCCCAGACCGAGCTGGGGCGACAGGACGCACCGCCTGCCGAAACCAAAGAGGGTGTCGTAGACGACTTTGGTGGACGGAGCCTCGGGCTTGAGCCACCGCCCGGGCACGAAGTCGTGCGGCTGGAGGTAGACGCTGTCGTCGCGCAGCATCGCCCTGTCCGTGCGCGATCGGATGTCGGAGAAGCGCGAGCACACGGATGTTTCGTCAGCGTTCGGTACACACATGGTCGCGCCGACCGGAGGTGGGTAGAGACGCACCAGATGTTCGCGAAGATTATCGTGTTCTTGGCGATGAAGTGCCCCCGGTGCACGTCGTCTTCCGCAGCGACCCGGTAGACTATGGACATCGTTAGCGTTCGAGGACTGAGTGTTGAGCAGGAGGGGGTGGACGCACACATGCTCACGGGGGGCCGTAGGCGCGCGACCTCTGCGATGATCGCGCCCACGACGGGGAGCCGCTCACGGTCGGTGAGCGCGGGAAGGCGGCCTGCGCCGGTGCCGACGACGGCGCGGATCTCGGCGAATGCGCGGGCTTGCCAGTCGCGGTGGGTGATCATGAAGTAGATGAGCGACTGGAGGAGGGAGGCGAGCTGTGGGTGCGTGGGTGAGCGGGAAGTGGGACACGCGACGGTTAGATTCGTTGATGGTGATATTGAGTGTGATCGACGTACGGAATCGCCACCGCCGATGAACACCTCGGAAGCGTTGAACTTGATCAGATCTTCGGGGGTTTTCTCCTTCTCGGATTCCGCCAGTGTTATCGAGCCGAGCGAGAATTTCGCGGTGCCGTTGGCCTGTCTCAAGCGTGAACGGACGTCGACAATGAACACACATAATGGTACAGACCATGCCCCGCTTGACCATGTCGAGACCGTCGTCGACGAGTTGGAAGTATTGTTTCTTGTACTCTTCCGCCTTCTTCATGAAGCCCATACCAGGCAGCCAGCGCGGAAGGGTCGCGACTGCAACGCGAATACGTAAGCACACGCCGTCGCAGCGAGGGTAGACGGAACGCACGAGAGGGAAACCAGTCCACCATGTGTTGGATGAGGAAGGCATCGCCAAAGTTGGCGAGGGAGACGTCGGAGCGCTCGACGAACTCGTCGTGCTGGGTCTTGACCCGGTATCCATATGCGATCTCTAGAGACAGCCCGGTGGACACGCTGCGTCAAACGTGAGTATATGCGCGCCCATCCGAGGGGAGCGTGCGAGAAAAACGCACTGCCGGGTGTGGGACGCGAAGTCGTCGGGGTTGTTGAGGAGGTTGAGGAGGAGGGTGCGGAGGTGGTGCTCCTCGGCCTCGCGCCAGCGCGGCATCTCGCGGGGCTGGAGGACGCGGTGCATGAGCTTGCGGCCGGCGCGCCAGCGGTGCGTGTCGTGCTGCAACACGACACCGGTGTCGAACCCGGATCTGATGGGCGTCGTTCACACGGCGCGAAGATGGACGAGGTGACCGCGACACGTCGTCGTCGGGTGGTGGTGGGAGATGGGCGGAGGACGCGGCGGATCAGCGGGGGCGTACGCGGGAGATAGACGCCAGGAACGGTAGACGCACAATTCAGCCATCTTCGGCAGCGGGCGGTTGGTGTAGAGCGTGGACTTGGCCTCAAAGAGCTCGCGCGCGGCTTCGGTCGAGCTGACGACCAGCAGCGGGCGACCGAAGAGGCTGAGCGAGTATATTGGGCCTGAGGCGCAGCGTTGGGCGGGAGAGCGAGGAGAAGAATATAGGAGGACGCACCGTACGGAAGGCCGAGCTTGTGGAGCGCGGGGGACCAGTTCTCCTTCGGCATCTGGAGGACGTTGCCGAGGAAGGGGAGGGGCCGCGGACCGGGAAAGTTGGGGGGGCGACCCCGCGCGCGCAGGCGGTGCTGGACAACATAGCAGAAGAGGGCGATGGCTGCGACCGCGCCGAAGGCGGCGTTGTTACTGAGCGCGGCGGGGAGGGAGGGTACTGTCGTCATCGAGGCGCGGGGCGAGGGCGGGGGCAGTAGGGGCGCCAACGCCTCGGCCGGGTAGATATACGGGAGGAGGAGTGCGCACCGAATATGTCCAGTCTTTCGCCACCAGGCCCCGCCGTGTCCCGCCCGACGACGGGGCTCGCGCTTGGGAGCGACACTGCAGCCGCGAGACGCTTGCCCAGATCGGGTGGGCTCGTCGTTATCGACCGAGTTCCCCGATCTGGGCCTCTCCCCACGTCGCTACCGACATTCCGATCGCAGCATCTCCCCATCCGCGCGCCGCCAGCCCCTCGCGCGCGACAGACGTCGGTCGGATGCCTTAATCTACGCCCCTCGATCTCTCGCCTGCGGGGGCCGGAGCGGTCTCACTCCCCCTCGGCCTCTCCCAGCGCTCCATGACGGCAACGAGGAGCGGAAATAACCAAGAAGGAACGCCAAACCCACCGCGCCAGCGACACGCCTCACGTCCCCGGCGAAACAGCGAAGCTGCCCGCTCCACCGCGCAATGCGAAAAGACCGTCAAGAACGGGCTGACGAAGTGTGTGTCCGTGGGATCCGGGCGCGTACGGCCACCGCGCCGTGAGCGCGGATTATGCAGCACCCGCCCCGTCGCGCAGCCAGCTTTCAAGTAGCCGCTGTGGCGCGTGTGGCGCGTGCCCTCGCGTGCCCTGAGGTATCGGACGGCGCGCGTGGCACGGAAGGTGTTTTCCCGGCGCGAGCACGAACGCTAGCCACCGCGTGTAGCGCTAGAGCACCCTCCTAGACCCACACGAGCTAGCGCGGACGTCCCCGTGCCTTGACCGCGCCCAACTCGGCTTTCCATATCCTCGTCGACGGTCCGTACGAAGGTGACCGGTGACCGGGGCATCTGCCAGTCGCTCTCAGTCAGCCGAATAGCGAACGCGGTTACGTTTGCCCTGGGAAGGTCAAGCGTCCTGCTGCCTGCACATCAGAGCGTCGCGCGAAATGCGCACTCCCCTCGCGCATCCTCGCTCTCATCCCGACCCAACGCGGCATTTATTGATCGCTCTCCGACGCCCCGACGCCGACGTCGGTCCCGCTGCCGACGCTTGCTGCCCCCCCTGGGCCTTGTGCCCCGCGCGCCCGGCTACGTCGCTTCGAGCCCCGCGCCGTCTGCTCGACGGACCTGGATCAAACTCCATCGCGCGCGGCCCTACTCAACGGCGGCGGCGGCGGCACCCACCGATGCGCGGCGTCGTGCGGCCGTGCTTGGATCCCATCACCTCCCGCGCCGGAGTACATACTGTACCATTTCGACCCAAAGTTCATGTCACGCGTCACGGAGGGTCATGAACATTCGATCAATCTGTCACGAAGGGTCATGAACATTTTCGCTACGGAAGGTCATGGGCGCCTGATGGGCGCTCGTCGCGTTGTTGGTGGAGGAAGAGGGCTATGAACAGGATGAACTTTGGTGTCCGCGGTCACGGAGGGCCTTGAACTTTTTCGGCTGGAAACGTTCATGGTCACGCCCAAAATCGATGAACTTTGGGTCGAAATGGTACAGTACGCGAGAGCGTTCGCGTAGTGGACCGGCGGGTCGAGTGCAAGTACTTTACTGGACTGTGTGGGTCCCGCACGGCGGACGGTGATGTGTGCCGGACTCGCACCGTGCGATCTCCGCGAGCACTTGAGACCTGTTCCACTTGGACCTGGCCGGGCGAGGCACACCGCCGTCCGCGTCCACGTACGGTGATCGGCGCCCGCAGAGAGAGAGATTCACTGATTCAGGAGCAGAATCAAACAAATTGCATCCGCCCAGTCCCTGTTCGCGCAGCGCCGTGGAGGAGCATCCAAATTCCAGACTTGCTCGAACCAGTCGGCCCGGAGCCGGGAGAACAACAGGTGGTCCGAGGCCGAACGAGGCGAGGGAGGACGCACTCCAAGTTTCAGCTTCAGACTTGCGCCCGCGCGCGACACGCTCGAGCGCGACATGGCTGCGCGGCCCGTAACGACGTAACGACGCCGCGCGGAGAGCTGGCGGTGGAAAAGAAGGATCGGACGGTGGGTGGGCGAAGACGACTGCGGGCCCGGGCTTCCCCGCCTCCCCCCTCGTGGGACACGATCTGTTGAAGAACGCGTCCAACTTCTGATCGTCGTCCCGCGCCCTGCGAAGTGTGCGTGCGTGCGTGCGTATTGAATGTTTGAATGTTGAAAGAGCGAGGCGACACCAGGGTTGCAAGGGTGCTTGCATATACCGACCGCTCAATCCCGTGTGAAGGGAGTGCACTACGCTTCCTACGCTGCAGCCCGATGGAGAGGGTGCGTGAGTCTTCGATCGTCCGCGCGCGAACTCTCCGCCGCGTGCACGTCCTTCGCGGCTTCGGCGTCGTACGACGGCGGGGCCACGATCAGCCGCAGGGGGCTGCAAAAGACGGCGCGGGCGAATTCGAACGTTCGACTGAGACTTGGCCACGGCGACCCGTCAGATGGCCGGGGCGCACCGGGGCTTGGGGCCTTGAGGCTTGACGCGTTGACGGAGCACAGCATGTGCGCGCGCGAGTCGCGGATTTGCGGAGGGGCCTGGAGCCAAGAGCTGATGTCGTGCGTGTCGGACTGATGGCTTGACTGATGTGGGGAGAGTCTGGGCCCGCACTTGCCACTTAGCTACGCAACACGGTGGAGAACGTCGACGCGTTCGCAGTCGTTCCAAATGGAGCCTCTGCGGACGCTGGGATACGGCGCGTTCTTCGAGAACGATGATAAGCAAGGCGTTGCTGACTTACACGCTCTTACGGCGCGGTCCTATGGACGGCGGCATCCGAGCGCGAACGCGCCTCCGCGCGCTGGATGACCGTGAGCGCGTCGTTCCTGAGCCAAAGCGAGCAACAGGACTAGCCCACCTCGATGTAACGCGGGCCTCGGACGTCGCGTACGCGAGCCCGCACGCAGCGCCGAGCGTGCCTCGGGCCACACGCTCGGAGATCACGGCGGGGTACGCGCAGAGCGCTGATGCCTTTCCCATCGCCCAAACTCCCACCGCGCGCGCCGCGCGACGTCGTCCGTCCCCGTCTTCGAACGGTGCGCGCGATGGAAAGCGGTGCCGCACGCGAACGCCAGCGGCGACGGGTGGGAGCTCGCGGTTACGGCAGTCAGTGATCGCGGCGGTGGCGACCATCGCGCCCTGGGTGTTTACGCGCGCGGTGGCGTGACAGGTGCACGTCGGTGTGAGCGGGTTACATATGGCGATGGATTGAGACGAACTGCGCCAGGGCGCGCCCTATTAAGTACTATTAGGGCAGTGGGGACTCGTTGGTCTGATCTTGAGTGCGGCCGGAGATTTCGCGCCTAAAGAGGTCATGGTGCAAGCCAGAGCAGGAAATTAGGATATTTTGGAAAAATCCAGGGCATGACGCGTAGGACGATCTGTAAACTAGCTCGTCGGGACTCGGCAGGCTGCGTCGTGAAGCGGGGTAAGTTAGAGAACGGGCCCAAATCTTCAAGAGTCACTGACATTACACTGAAGATTCGTAGTGGGCGTATGGCACTGACAACTGTATGTGCGCTTGCTTTTGGCGGGAAGGTCGACCTGTTCTGTGGGGTAGTGATTGGTGGTAATTCGAAAGCAGCGCCATGTAGTAGTAGTAGGAAATGTAGTAACATGATCGTGGACGAGACTCATCGACACTGCGTTAGCGACGAGTCTAACCGTTAACGCGGGCAGGAGTCGCAAACATCGCCAAATAACGCGTCTGTGGCGTTGACACAATCATTTAGCGCCCGATAGCGTTCGACTCCTCCTTCTTGAATCGTCTCCAGCGACGGTCCGCCAGTCCACTATGTCGACCACTGACGGTTCATGGTCGGGTGCGTATTGTCTTGATACCACAATCACAGCCTCAAAAGGGGGCCACAATCTCCAGGTATGAACAATGGCCCTTCGTTCGCATGCGGCACAATGACCAGAGAAACGCCGTGCACCACACCGGGAGCTAGTGTGGTCTTGCAGGGGCGCAGCTTCCATTATGGACCGATCATCTCTCCTACTGGTGAGGATAAATAGTATATCATGGACATATAAGACGCAGTGCATTTTCTTCACAGTCCCCCCTCTGGATCCCGTCTCCTATCTCCCTTGAGTCGGTGAGCTACTACCTTGATCCATGGTACAAACTCCCTGTTTGACCGGAGAATAGACGACCACAGGTGTGAGGATGGAGAAATTTCCGGTACCGATCCATTCCACACTTGTTGATACGCACCACCCGGCCGAACTTAGACGGAAGAGGTTCACGACCTTCGCGAGCCTTACACCGAAGTTGGAGTCCATCCGTACGCTGGAGATCGGGCCGCTCACCGAGTCACAGTGGACAGATCGGTCAATACACTGGGTACTCAACGCGACGTTGCCATGTCTTGAAGTCCTCGACCTGTGGGTCAAATACGATCAGCCGGCCGTCACCCCCAATGCGCTCGCACAGATGAATCTGGACACCCAGCGCTTTCCCAAGCTCTCGCATCTCTTCCTCCAAGGCTTCTTGTTTCCGTCACTCAGCAAAAGGAGCTGGGAGCGCCTCGAGGAGCTTCGTCTCGGTCCGTGCAAGGTGACCAAGCCGTTCTACGACGCCGCCCGCCTCATCGACGCGCTCGCTGGTGCTAAGGGTCTCCTCCGTCTCCGCATCCACGACTTCCTTGGCACCGTGAACTTCCCCGTAAGTCCCCCGAGCGCGCAAGAGACGTGCTCCCTTCGCTCCCTGCTCTCTCTCAACATCAAGGACCACCCCCTCAGGATCGGCTCCTTCCTCCAGTCCTTCCGCTTCCCGTACCCCGCCTGCACCTCATACACCCTCACCGAGCTCGGGCCCGGCGACCCCACCCGCTCCCCCTTCCGCCGCATGCTCCCCCCGGGCCCCGGGCCCCTCGACTTCCTCAACTTCGCGATCGCGCGCCTCGCCGTCGCCCCCGACGCAGACTACGTCGTCGTGACCGGCACGGGCGCCGCCGGGGGCTCGATCGCGCTCCGCAACCGCGCCGACCCCCTCGTCTTCGCGCACGCCGTGAACGCGCTCTCGGACGGCACGCTTTTCAGCTCGGACGTGGACGACGTCGACGTCGCGTTCCCGCCGCGCGAGCCGCGCGGCGAGTATATTAAGTGGCTCGACGGCTTCACGCGCCTCCCGGGCGTGACGGCGCTCGCGCTGCGCACCGCGGGCACCCCCGTCCCCCCGCAGGCCATCCGCGCGCTCGGGGAGAGCGGGGCGCTGCCTGCGCTCGCGTCGGTCGAGCTCGCGGGGATGGCGCACGAGCGGGGGATGCTCGACGCGCTCGCGGGGGAGCTGGAGAGGCGGACGCGGGCGGCGCGCGGTCCGCGGCTGGTGAGGCTGAGCATCGCGTTCGCGTGCAGCGGGGAGGACGCGCGTGTGGACGCTGAGAAGGTGGCGCGGGTGAGGGAGCAGATGGGGTTTGCGCTGCGGCCGGGGGCGACCTTGGAGGTGCGGTTCTTGCCTGCGACGTGAGCGATGAGGTGGGCGATCCTAAGTGGTGGTGTAGGAGTATTCCGTGTTCAGACTGTTGTATTATCTCTACTTCGAATATGTCAGTCTCCTCCTGCCTCACTGGTGAGTTAGTCATGCATGATGAAGGTGACTTGATAAGATTCGGCGCTTCAATGCGATGGGAAGTGGTGCGCAAACACCGTCAAATAACACGCTTGTGGCGGCGCGCGCACCGCAGCGGCGTCCTTCAAGCTCTTATTCACCACTGCACACTCTCTGGCCATATCTCATTTCCCCATCTCTCTGCCAATCACCTGCGTCTGAGGGCCGATATGCATCACGTCTTTTCCAGCTGCAAGTTCCGTCCCAAGCGTTCGCATTGAACCAACATCGGCCCTCAAGCTTCAAGAGTCAAGGCCACATAGTCAAGTTTCCCCGAGGACGCAACACACACATCCAGTGAAGATGAGAACGACGCAGGTGTAGCATGAAGGCCCGAGCAGCGGTGCGTTCACTTACACCATCACACCCATTCGGAACCTTGGACTCAGAACTCTCCCCGGTGCCGCGTTCTTCCTCAGGCGATCCGTTTCCGCGCCGGAAGACAGGGGCTTCAACTCTACACCTCCAAGTCGCGCGGATCACGGCAGCGGTGCTACTTATACCCCGAGTGCTGTGGGGATGAATGGGCACGGCATGGGCATATCGCTGCTACAGCTCCTAGATGTGAGTATTGAATATTATGAAAGACGTGACACGGATGTCCCGCATGTCGTCCCTCGCTTCTGGTCCGAAGCAGCGCGTCCGTCTCTCTCGTCAACTTCACTTCCTGTCGCACCGACTCCTGTGTCTCGCCCATCCAGAGCTCCCGGGGTGCTATAAACTTCCTCCTCGCTGCAAGCACTCATCCCTCATCCCCTCAGCAGCGTACGCCTCTCCTTTGCCTCGCCCCGCGCCCCTCTCCCCCTCAAATCGGAGCTCGCATCCTCAAAGCTTCACCCCCCGCACCCGCGGCTACGACACGAATGGCCTCGGACCCGAACCCGTTCTTCTCTCCGCTCACGCACGAGCCCTGCATGCCCCCGGGCATCCCGCAATCCACAGCGTCCACGCGCAACGTCCCCCGCTCGGACGACCCCCTCTCGCCCTCGTTCGACCCGACCCCGCCGACGCCCGCGGCCCACATCGCCCCGATCCAGCAGCTCTACCCCCTCGCGGACGCCACGGCGACGCCGTTCGCCACACACGCGCTGCACCCCCAGACGCCTGGCTACGCGGGCGCGGACGCCACGAACGCACTGTGGGCACACCGGCTCTCCGTGTCGCTCGGGGCGATCGCGGAGCAGATCGCGCAGGCGGGCAAGGCTCTCGCCGTTCTTCCCCAGCCCCTGCCCCAGCCTCAGCCCCGGCCCCAGATGCACATGCACATGCCGAGCGCGGTGTCGTCGCCGAACCCCGAGAACCGCGCCGCGCCGCGCCGCGAGAGCTGGGCGGAGGTGGCCGCGCTCGTGGCGAGAATGGAGATCATGGAGCGCGCGCAGGAGCACCTCGCGCGGAGGGTGCAGGTGGCCGAGTTGCAGATGGCGCCCTCGATCTGGATGGGGGCGGTCCCGGTGGCCGTCGATGCCCATGGAAGCTCGGGGTCGAGGCGGACGCGCGGAGGCCAGGCGGATGCCCTTGTGGCCGACGACGGGAGTGGGGAAGCGCCGCGGCTCAAAAGCGCGACGGAGACCGTAGTTGAGGAGCTGCAGCAGAAGGTAGAGGGAATTATCGAGATGATGACGCTCGAGTGAGTGCCCTTGTTCTGTGTTTCCATCACACGTATGTGCTCACTCTTGCATTCACCGGTAGTCAGTCCCGCCTGTATGCGCGCCTGCACAACGCGACGATCACGTCGAACAAGATGACCATCATGGCTCCCGCGACGGCCGCGGGTAAGGCGCCGCCGACCTTTCCGGCGACCAAGGGCGAGTTTGAGCATCTGACGAGTGCGTCCCTTCTTCAGTTCTTCTTCCTTCTGCGACTACGAGCGCTGACGACGGGTCCTGCAGAGGAGCGGTACGAGGCGATCCTCGAGGCGTACAACGTCCAGGCCAAGGGCGACACTCCCGCGCTACGTGAGACGCTGCGCGAGTTCATTGGTCTCACGCCCGCCGCACACCGCTGATTGTGTGCATGAGTCGGAGAAGAGTGGGGTCGACCCGTCAGTGTTCTGTCTCATCATGGCTACTGTATTTCTCACTTGGAGGTAGTTCCGACTCGTCTAGAATATAATGGGCTGTCATGTCCGAGTTTTGCCGTCTAGACTCCAAGATTGTCATGACCGTTAACGCCCGCCGATGTATCAAGCGCAAGCTACGCAGCGCGCCCGCGTCGCCCTGGATATCACGCCGAGCTCGTGACACGAAGAAGGCACGATTGTGGTTCGCATTCTGTCGTAAGCCTAGCTAGCCTTCTGCGTCTTGACAATGAATGGCAGGTCTTATCCTCGCGTGCTCGCCGCGCATGCGTCACAACTTGCGACCTACCGCGCACCTAGAGTGGGCGGTGTTCAAGCTGCGCGCGGCGCCTCCCAATCCCAGGCCTGGCGGAGTGGAAGTGAGCAACGGGGCGTGCGCTTAGCGGCGGCCGTGCTCGCGGGCTTGAGCTGTACTTACTAGCGCGCGCATACAGCCAGTGCTCCAGGCAGCCGAGTGCGAGAGCTGGAGGGTCTCTCGGGCACGCACAGGTCCCCGCGAAAGCATTCTACAATGGTTGTTCTAGTACAAATTTGCTTCATGTCAACAGCAGGCTACGGACGACCGCGCGCCGTCTTCCGGTTCCACGCCCGCCCAGCGGCGACCCCCGGATCCGAATCCGCGAATTCAGTCAGAAACTCCAAGAAACATCCACCAGCGCCGCGAGCTTCCCCCCCCCGCCGAGCGGTGTGCGACCGGTCCGCGCGAGGGTCCGCCGTGAGGGCGGTTGGCTGGCGATGGGCGGGTCGGCGCGCTCACGCCTTCTTCGCGCCCTTGGACGCGGGCGGCGGCGGCGCGGAGCCCTTGGGCGCGGGCGCGGCCTTGGAGTTGGGGGCCTTGTCGCCCTTGGCCTGCGGGGGGAACAGGTATGAGCGCAGAGGTCGCCGCGGGGGAGGTGCGGGCGCGAAGACCTGGGAGGAGGCCGCGGCGCGGGGCGTCTCGGCAGCGGGCTTGGCGGCGGCTGGGGGCGGCGGGTCAGCGAGGGGAGGAGGAGGGGAGGGCGGGCGGCGGCGGCGACGCACCACCACCACGGGTTCCCTTGGCAGGAGGCATTGTGTTGGAGAGTAGAGGAGAGAGTGGGTTGGTGAGCGGGTTGCGGTGAGCGAAGAGGACTTTGCTGAGGAGTCGGGGCGGAGAGTCGCGTGGTTTTATAGGTCGGGGTCGCGCGCGTTGCGAGCGCAGAGCTGGCCACGATTGGCCGTGCGCGAATATCTCCGTTGGGTCGCGGAGAAACATGGACGTCCATATTTGGCTAGGGTGCGCGCGGGGAGTCGCGAGCACGTCTTGCTTGTCATCGCTCTCGTCGTCGAGGGGGGAGGATGAATGGTTGGACTAGGAGAGCTGCACGTAGTGCATTGGGGGCACTGCGGAAATGAGAGGATTCTGGCGCAGGAACGCCAGAAGGCGATCGATGTTTGACTTGCGAAGCCGTCGCTCGTCCTGGAGAGTGGGATGTGCGCGGACAGCCGGTGCGGAAAATGAGTTCAGATGTCGACGCAACTTTGACGGAGCAGCGGTAGTGGAACGGGGAACGCAGCAAGAGGTGTTTTCAGAGTCTGCTGTCAGACGAGTCTGTCAGAGGATAGACGTGGAGACAAAGGAACCCATACTTGAGAAAGGGTGGAGACGTAGTGCAATCAGCGGCTTATGAGAGTATGGTTCGGCCGAAGCCGAGAGGCGTCCACCAATAGCGCTAAACGCGCTGAGGCCTCGAGCGCAGTCGTCTGCATAAAGTCGAACGGGAGAGAACAGAGACGCCCCGGGGAGATCTGCTGGATGTGGTAAGGCCTGCCTATGGGAAGCAAAAGAAACATCGCAAGAAGTTCGCGGAAATGTCGCACTCTTTGTCAAATTACGTCCTCGGGCCCACGTTGACGACTTCCAGGCTAGAATGTCGAATAAGTGGGCCCGATAACGGGGAAACAAGAGGAGATACGCACCGGATGATCCGGAGGTCCTTGATAACGAGCATGCTCCAGCCGATATGCACCTTCTCTCCTACCTTCACTCAAGGACCCCGGTAAAACGCGCTTTGACGCAGTAGACAACCCGTGTTGTAGTGCCGGACTGTGTCCTCTGCCCGCGAGAGCTTTCAGCATCTTGGCATCACCTTCGACAGTACTCACCGTCATTTGCGAGATGGCGGCATGGAAAGGGACTGGCGTTGACGCCGTCTGTTCGCACTGAGACACGCACGTGATCTTCCGGTTAGCTCCGGCATCCCGAGCGCCGGTACGCGTACGGTTGGCACTGGGCGATCCCAAATCCGACCTGAACTCGTTGCTTCGCCTTCGGTACGCGACTTTCCGGACAACCAACCCACGCAGGTCGATCTGCAATGTGAGCCTGCTGGAAATTTCACCCCTCACTCCTCCTCCTGACTTCAACGTCGCCACAGTCCGAGATCACCGCCTTACGATAGCTGCGAGATGAAGAGTTCGCAGTGTCTATATGCACCGGCGCGGTGCGTGTTCCTCTTTAACGTCGATATTTAACACTAAATGCCCCTATATGCATGCAGGATAGTTTAATCATGCGCCTTCGCTGAGCTCGGTCGACGAGAACACTCGGCCACACCGCCGGCGCTGCGCCACGAACTCAAACACCAGGCGGTGCTGCAGACCGTCCACCGCCACATCCACTCGGAGACATGGTCATTACACGGACATGCTCGGGCGAGCACTCAGCTTATATCCACTGAACACCGCATGGACACTGCCGGAGCCGCGAGCGGTCCACTCGGCCGTGGTCTCAAGCACGTCATCCTTCATCCTGCCTCTGGAAGGTGGCAACACAGAGATAGGAGAGATACTAGATCCTTCTCATGTCAACGAAGCCGTGGTGAGAATGCAGCTAGGTGGTTCCTCTTTCCCATGACATTGAGACCGGTATGGCTGACATATTCCATGTGGCGTACAGAACACTCAGAGCTTTCATCTTCCAAGACTCGGCCCCAGTATTGAAAAGGTTTCAGACATTAAGTTTGGCGTTGCTACGAAAAAAGCGGGCTTGAGATTGCGTCGGAGGTCATGCTTCTCACAACCGGTGTGTATATCGTATCCGTGTGAACCCACTTGCAGCCTATTCATTTCTCACACGCAGGGCACCCGGGGTAGCTTTGGCCGGCCCTTCCTTCATCACAGAGCAAGATTTACCCACAACAGCACATGCCTTATGTTCTTCTCGCACGGAGACAACCTTGTTCAGGCATTCAAGTTTGCCTTCTATCGATGCATGGATATGACACAGCATACGCGCCGCACGCGCGCTGTGACACCGCTCTCACGATCCCGGCTCCCTTCGTTCCAGTAATCACCCTATCCGAAAATCTGAACGAGTGCGCTCCCGCGAGGGTGAGAGCTATTCTTGTAATCGACTTCGCGGAATGCCAACGCCGCCCCATAGCCGGAAGTCCAGTGCAGACTCACTGTGGCATCCATCGCCTTCTTTCCTCGTGTTGCTGAGAAAACACTTCCCCTTCCCGACATGGGCGCGCGTGTTTCCTCATACTCACCCTGGGTCAAGTGACGAGCGAAGCACCTGGGCCATGCGTGCGAGCCTCTGCGGGTCCGCCCAAGAAGCACCCAAACGGGCTGTTCCACCTCCTTCGAACTTTGCGCGGATTGGCGCTGCTGAGGGGCAGATACGCGCGTAGGTCGTGTATAAAGCTCTCCGCGGTCCCCGCCTCGCTCCTCAGCTCGGTCTTGCCAAGCCCTCCCGCCTTCGCCGCCCACCGCCTCCTCTCGACCTCACGATGTTCGCCTCCGCCTTCCTCGTCAACGTCCTCCTCGCGACTGCCGCGTTTGCGATCCCGACCTCGCGCGAGCGTCTGAACCAGCGCGTTGCGCGCCGCCTCGGGCTCGACCACCAGTCCGGCGTCAAGGTTGCGAGCTCGTCGGACATCGCGGCGACCGGGAACACCACGCACGCCGAGTTCAGCTCCAACTGGTCAGGCGCCGTTCTCGTCCAAGGCAGCGTACGTGTTCCTTCTCACCGAAACGAGCGGTGGGGATGTTTTTGCTAAGTGCTTGTGGTTCCCGTCTTGCAGGGCACGTTCAAGTCGGTGACCGGAACCTTCACGATCCCGACGCCGAAGGAGCCCTCTGGTGGCTCCGGTACTCACTCCGCGTCTGCATGGGTCGGCATCGACGGCGACACCTGCGGCACCGCCATCCTCCAGACCGGTATTGACTTCACCGTCTCCGGCACGCGCACCTCCTTCGATGGTACGCCATCCTCTCCCAGTCTCTCTGCGTACTCCCTACTGACGCGCTTTCTCTCTCTTCCCGCATAGCCTGGTTCGAGTGGTTCCCCGACTTCGCGCACGACTTCAGCGGCATCTCCCTCAGCCCCGGCAACTCCATCACCGTCTCCGTTGTCGCGACCTCGACCACGGGCGGGACCGCGACGATCGTGAACCACTCGACGGGCCAGACCGTCTCGCACACGTTCTCCGGCCAGCCCGCGCTCTGCCAGGAGAACGCGGAGTGGATCGTGGAGGACTTCGAGTCCGGGAACTCGCTCGTCCCGCTCGCCAACTGGGGCACCGTCACCTTCACCGGCGCCAGCGCGGGCACGTCCTCCGGCACCGTCACGCCCTCGGGCGCGACGATCATCAACATGGAGCAGAACGGGCGCGTGCTCACGAACGCGGCCGCGAGCGGCTCGTCCGTCACCGTCCAGTACACCGGCCCTTGAGCGGCGCGCGCGCGGGCCGAGCACTGTTGGACACTTATTACAAACCTCGAGCGCGGAGGCGGGCGGGGGTTGGTTGCAAAAGCAGTAGGTAGCTGTGTCTTTACGATCGCGACGCTTTGCGTGGAATGAACACTTCAGATGTACCACCATTCGGAACACGGCGCTTGCACGGCGCGAATAAAGTACTGGCGGGCTGCTGATGTAAGCGCTCCACGGGACCACGTGCCGTCGCGCGTCTTGTTGGAGGCGGGCGTTTTGTGCGTCTTGTTCTTCGTCTACCACCACATCCAGAGCAGACATGGTGTATGCGGGAGCGGTGGTTATGTCGCCCTTGGAAATAGCTTTGGGAGCTTTTTTCACGCGGCTGTCGCACTGGTGAGTGCTGGAAGCGTTCCTGTGATCCTTCCAGCTCACCGTCTCCGACGTCGATAGCGGTCGTTGCCGCAAGCAGCTGGCCGGAGCGCCTTCCTTTGCTAGCTTCTCTATCTCCCGGTGTTTGGCGCGACTCGCAGATGGAAGGAGGGATCGCCCAGGAGCGTCTGGTGACAACCAGTTGGCCGGGTAAACGTTCGTTTTCGAATGCGCAGTTCAGACCGGCTAAATCGAGCCTACGGCGACAGGCATCGGTGAGTAGCCAGGCCCGACGCATCAAATATTGTTGAAGATGCACGGACTCACATGGTACAATCGACGACTAGCACGCCTCACAGCTATCCAAACAGCGATCTGGAGTCTGGATCCTTCCACTACATACACGGCGATATTCTATCCCGCTGTCGTGTGCACCGTCACCACCTTCGACGACGATACGACGATCGGCCCTATTCAACAGCTTGTGTGCATACTGCGTCTGTGATAGTCAGCATCAGCCCGGCGGTATCCCGCCCGACAGCGCCAGTGACCGAGTCCTCGGAGCCACGCCGCTCCACCGCCTCGCACATGGCCACACTGATACCTGGTAAGTGGTGCTACAATCCTGGAGGTCTCGCCGCTGTCCCCATGCCATCTTAACAGGCGCTCGTGCCCCGCATCGCACAATTGGACTTGCGATAAACCGGTACCGCCTGACGTTCGAGATGTCAAGGAATGGATGCTGCCCGACGGTCTTCTCCAACTTTGCCACCATCGCGGGCGGCGTCCGCATCAGGTGGTACGGCGGTGATGTGGTTCCAGGATTATCTGGTGCGTGATTTTGCGGTGACTAATGGCAAATCTTGCGATTCACACACGACGAGCAGGACTGTGTGCTGGGTGCATCTCGACAGCGCAGCAGCCCTGGCACGCCTGTCGGTACCGAACGCAGGGCCTCGCGACGGGAGCATGCTGCTGGAGCTTCGCGCTACCCAAATCGATCCGCAATGGGCTACTCACGTGCAGGCGATCTTGTGCTATTTTTGCAATCATCGTCGCCTAGCACGCTGCTCGCTGCAAGCACCGGTCATGAGCATGGCGTTTGCACCCTCCAGCACCTCGAAATCCTTCTCTACGGCTCCAAGAAACGCGTGTTCTCAGCCCGGCGGTGATAGCAGAAGCGGTGAACCATGTGTGTGCTGTCGCGGAACGCAAGGCACTACGGAACTGACAATTTCCAACCAGACCTGAACACAGTGTGCTCCACTGAAGGTGGTTCGTGCTCGCGCGCAACAGCCCAGCCGCGTTGTTACAGGGCCGAAACGACGCACAATCATCTCGCCTGAACGCATAAAAGCCCGCGTGTCACCGTCCATCGGTCCCCAGCTCGGAGCCCACCAGTTCTGACAGCCTCCTCGTCTCCTCTGCCCTTGTCACGATGGTCGCCTTCACTGTGCTCTCCCAGCTCCTCCTCGCCGCCTCCGCGCTCGCCGTGCCCACCTCGAGTGAGCGCTTCGCGTCCCGCGCCGCGCGCCGCGCCGCCGGCCTCAACCGCCAGTCGCGGCCCAAGATCGCCTCGTCCGGGCTCTCGGCCGAGTTCACGAACAGCTCGAACGTCGACTACAGCAGCAACTGGTCCGGCGCCGTCCTCGTCGCGTCCACGGTGCGTACGCTCTCGGCGTTCCGGGGCTGCGGTTGCTGACTTGCCCCCCGACGGTCGGTCTAGGCGACGTACAAGTCCGTTACGGGCACGTTCACCGTCCCGAGCCCCAAGGAGCCCTCGGGCGGGTCGGGCGAGCACTCCGCGTCGGCTTGGGTCGGCATCGACGGCGACACCTGCGGGACTGCGATCCTCCAGACCGGCCTTGACTTCACGATCTCGGGCTCGAGCGTGAGCTACGATGGTGCGTTCTCGGATATCGCCACCTTAGCGCCACCGCCGCATCCCTCGTGCTCACGCGCCCGCGCCGGCAGCCTGGTACGAGTGGTACCCCGACTACGCGTACGACTTCTCCGGGATCTCCTTCTCCTCCGGGGACACCGTCACCGTCACCGTCACCGCGACGTCCAAGACGGCGGGGACGGCGAAGATCACGAACGTCTCGACGGGCAAGTCCGTCTCGCACTCGTTCTCGGGCCAGCCGAGCCTGTGCGAGTACAACGCGGAGTGGATCGTCGAGGACTTCGAGGAGGGCTCGTCGCTCGTGCCGTTCGCGAACTTCGGCACCGTCACCTTCACGAACGCGAAGGCGACGACGAACAGCGGCTCGACGGTGACGCCCTCGGGCTCGGACCTGATCGACATCGAGCAGAACGGGAAGGTGCTCACGTCGGTGTCGACCTCGGGCAGCACCGTCACCGTCAAGTACACCGGGTAAGGGCTCGGTGCGGTTGGCGGACGTCTTGACGTTTGCGACGAATGGGAAGGATTTGGAGGCGGATTTGTAGTCGTTTTTCGGATTCGTGGTGTGCTTGTTGTTGTACTCTTCACGATGCGCGACGAAATGGAAAGGAGCACGTTGTACCTGTATAACAAGGGGGCCTTCAACGGCTTCGTCGGGTCTCCCTCTGCCAATAAAGACGGCAGCTGCCGGATGTGTGCGGTCCGGTGGCCCGGGACGGGCCGACCGGCACCAACCTCGGCTGCATGCACCAGTGACTTCACTGCGTCAAACGAACGCATTTCGAAGTTGTCTTCCATCCACATCATGACCGCCGACCCCCGCAAAACATCCTCCCGCGTTCCTCCTAAGATCTCGGACAGGATCATACGGCACCTTGATCCACATGCCGATATGAAGACGCCTCTGGGCTGCTCCCAGGTTTCCCAAGTCGAACCGTATCCCGACCGTCCCTCGCCATCTTCATGTTCACGCACGCTCACGCGGAGCCACCAAAATCCACACTGCTTATCTTCTCTTCCCTTACTGGGTGCTATCTTTCGCACTGCTGCACACGATGCAGACTTCCCGATCCTGTCTCCGACGTCGATCATACCTCCTTGATCTCACTCGCACGCCCCCGTCTCGCACTCGCGCTTCCCCATCCCACCGCCACGAGCGTGGCCGATCACCCTCGGACGGAACAGAAAACCGGAGGAATGCACGCGAAGACGCCGGCTGTCGTTCTTGCTTGGTATATCTAGATCGCTTTCCGCGCACGGGTGGGTCGCGAAAGTGGTGGTGCGGGCCAGCGTGGGCATCGGCGGAAGCGGAGGGTGGAAGGCACGGTGCGCGCCGTACGTGCTGCCGAAGCGGTGTGGGTAAGGGGTTCCCCGAGTCTTGCCTCAGTCCAACTTCAAATGAGCTCTTTGCAGACGAGGCCGGCCACCGCGCCAGGGAGGGTATGACGTAGCGACGCTCGCGCGGGCCGCGCTGCGGCCAGACGCGTTATTTGCTTGTATTTGCACAAACCTTGAGCTTGCCATACGCGCAGCCCACACGTCGGCGTGGGGTGTCCCCCTCTCGACTCTGCAGTGGAATACCGTCACCACCTCTTCTCACTTCCCTCTTACCTGAAATGCTTAGAAACACGGAGGAAGACATCCCTGGAATCTTCAACTACCACTACGTGGTTCCTGTCACCATTGTCGAACTGCGCATGAGGTACTTTGCAGGCATCATCCGTTCAAAACCATCCTGGTGGGAGAACATTCACGACCCTGTCACTGTCAAGAAGTGGCGGGACGAGATGGTAGAGCATGACCGAGTCACGCACGATGAGCTCTGGGGAGGAGACCTCCGCTTCAAACTATACAAGAAAAAGGCCAACGATGGTGAACGGGGACGCCGTAGGGGAGACGTGAAATGGTGGCCCCGGGAGTTGCTTACAGAGGCCCAGATCAAGTACATTTTTGACGAGCTTCTGCATGCGGCTTCGAAGCGTGACCCATCCACTGGGGTGTTCGTGAGTGATATGATTGTCGTGTTTCGCCCGTGCTGATAATCGTATTATGCAGACGAGCCACATACAGATGGCTTTCGAGTCGCATTCTCTCGTCGATGGCGCTCTCAAAACTCGGCTCGCACGCGCCGTAGTCGCCCTCGAGGACCTCCCCGACGACCAGAAAGTCTGGCACCCGAAATTCAACAACCAGGTTCTTGATCTCGTTCATCCCTCCATGTACCCTCTCTGCATCGGTCACACGTACTTTCGTGTACCTAATCCCAAGGGAGGAGAACCTGTCCTCACGCTACTCGACCGCAAGAAGTACCTTCAAGTACAACCCGCTAGTAACTCATATAACCCTCGCTACTCGGCATCCGATGCCTACCAGTGGCTCCCGACCGACTTCGCTGTCTCTCTTAACGGCGACGTCACAACTGCTGGCTACATCAACAACGCGCACCCGTCGCGGCACCGCGCGCTCTATCCTGTCGTCACCTCCATCGTAGTCCGATTTGTGCCCATGTTCGAGCGTATGATCTCAAGCACTCTCAATATGCAAAGACCCGTGGATTACATCGCGATAGAGGTGGACGGACACGAGTGGTACAACCACCTCGAGGTCAAGGAACCGGAGGACGACGACGATGACAACACCTACAAAGACCGCCACGCGGAGTGGGAGCGCCTGCACAAGTGGCCGCGCATTCCCGATCCGAAACTTTTCACCCCCCTTCCCACCGACGCGCGCACCGAGTTCTCGCTCAAGGGCCGTACGATCCAGGTCATCGTCAAGCTCACGAACGTCCATCTCACCCCCGACAACCCGTTCTACCCGGGCGGCTCGTGGCACGTCGAAGGGATGGGAAACGAGCGGATCGTTGCGACCGGCCTCTACTGCTACACGATGGAGAACGTTACAGAGAGCGGGCTCGCCTTCCGTCACTGCGTGGGGTCCGGGGAGTCGGGGTCGGAGCTCATGTATCAGCAAGGCGACCGCAAAGGATACACCACCGCGTTCGGGTTCGCATGTGATGACCCGTTCAGCCAGCCGCTCGGTCACATCGTCGCCGCGGAGGGAAAATGCGTAGCGTACCCAAACTTCTACCAGCACCGCGTCGAACCGTTTGAGCTCGCGGACAAGACACGGCCTGGGCACATCAAGATCCTCTCGCTCTTCCTCGTCGACCCCACGACGAGGATCTTGTCGACGTCGGACGTCCCGCCCCAGCAACGCGAGTGGGCTATCGCTCAAGCGGAGCAGGTGCCGGCCTTGCAGAAGCTGCCGCGGGAGCTGTACGATATGGTTGTGGGATACGCGGAGGAAGGACTGATGTCGCGCGCGCAGGCGGAGGAGCATCGGGGACGACTGATGAAGGAGCAGGCTGCGTTTACTGAGACTTACAACGAAGAGTCCTTTGAGCAGCTGTTCTGCGGGGTCGAGAATAATGACGATTATTAGACACCATGCCGTCATGTAGTCGGTTAGCACAAGTAGTAGTGCTGAGTGCTCGGACAGCTTGAGCGTTCATGTTCAGGCCTCAACCGTCGACGCACGGACCACTAGACTTGGGAGGGGCGCTGAACGCCACAAGCGCGTTCTTTGGGCGTGTTTGGTGTCTTTCGCACACTTTTCGACCTGCCACGCCAACTGGCTGAACAGCAATATATATGTTCCATGGTAGACTGGTCAAGTTCAGACGCAGGTACTGAATTGGAATAGAGCTCACTGAATAGACATCACATGTAGCACACCTAGAGGCGCTCCGTCAATGTAAGGTCCGTCTTATCTGAAGATCTCAAGCCTTTAGCATGTTTTCCACCGACTCTGCGCCTTTTCGAGTTCCGCTGGCAGCTTCTCGCCGCAGAATTTGTTGATCTTATTGGCGCCTCGGGTTTGGACAACGTAGCCGGTATCGGGCACGATTGGTATGTTGTCCTTCCATTTTGAGACTGACGGGATATATGTCGCTCGCGCTGCGCTACCACGACCGCCATCGTGTGGCTTGCCGTCCGCTTCATCCCTCCCTAGACGGTGCCACTTCACCTCGACGCGAGCATCGTGGACCACTTTTGGGAAGCATGTGCTCGAGTACTGGAAGTTGTTTCGGAGTCCTGCGAAGGCAAGGCATGCCACCTTCAACCGTATCGTTCGCGCTTACGTGCGCCCGCAGGCTGCTCTGCGGGCGGCGCATGAGCGATCTGCGGTAGCTGAGGAGTGTCGGGATCCCTGGCCGCGGTTTCAACTTCTACTCCCGGATTTCGGTGAGCCGGTTTCGCAGAACGTGTTCTCGAGTCTCGATCGTGCGCACTGTCTGACTACGACGTCTTTCTCACCCAGTCACCGTGAAACACGAATTGTGACGTATGGTTCACATGTCACGACATCCTTTCCCGCTGTGCCGCAGCCCCAGAAACTGTGCAGGCTCTCGTCAAACGCTTAAATAGGAGGGAGGACTCCCAGAGAGCAGCAGCAGCCTTCTACGCACAACCATCATGAAGTGCCGTCACGTCTTTCTCGCCGTTGCTTTTGCTGTGACTCAGGGTAAAGTCCCGTTTTCCCGACTGTTAAGCGCGTCGCGCTGACGCCTCATTCGTGACATCAGTCTTTGTCGCCCCCCGCACACGCGGTCCCCATTGTGCGTCTGGCTCCCTAAGTGCACATTGACGATACTAACAGCGCATCGCGGAACCAGCCACCCTGCACTAGTCCGAAGTGCCCCCAGGGTTGATATTCCAAGTCGAGCGTCACGAGGTTAGTTTGCGTTCATCCTTGTCAGTGCAACTCTGGCTCATGATTCTCCGGGCAGGAAAGGATGTAGAAACTGCGTTATAGATTGCAAAGTTGGCTACCTGTGAAATGTTTCATCGAGCTGGGTTGATATGAATTTCATGTACGCCTACGTATGATATCAACACTACATCGTCCTAACGCCCCGAACGGAACCTTCCTCTAAGTCGGCAACCTCTATCGTCCACGCGCCAGCCAAGATGTCCACCATGTGCGCCCACAAAGCGGTCGCTGCCCCGCGCACATCCTCCCCGGTCGTCATGAACAGAGCGAAGCGCGCTTCCCGCACGTCCGCGAGAGGAGCGCGACGGAAGCTCTGCAAGGGCCGCGGATAACGCGCTCGTCAGCGCGCTCGCGGGCATCCAAAAATGGGCTGAGGTTCTGTACATTTTCGTTTGACATCTGACTCGGATTCGAGAGGACGGTCTGCTGGAGTCGTTGGAAAGTAAGCAAGGGGTCTGGTGGCTACTGCGGAAGGCGATTATGGACATTGCATACAGATACAATCTGTTGTTCGAAGTGGATTGGTACGTACGGCCGCCTGATCGCGTCGTCCCACCACAACCCCTGTTAATCAACCTTCTCGTTCCGCCAGCCCTCTCCGAGTCTGACCAACCTGCCCACGGACGACGCGCTGTCCGCCGGTGGACCCGCACGCCGGAATGGCGTGATGCCGCCGTCTTACAGCGGTTCCTCCTGATTGTCGGTGTGAATCTCCACCGCCATTGTCGCCTGTCCAGCGACTCCCAGAGGCAACACCCTCGTCGAAATTTCCGGCACCGTCTTCCACAGCATACGTCCGGCGGCGCGCTCCATCCAGACACTCTTCTCCTCGGGATGGCTATCTATCAATAGCTGGAGGGACACGCTCTCCACGGCTGGAAATCGAGCGTCCGAGATGAGCGCTGCGAGCTCGTCGAGAGCCGCGCGCGATGCGCTCGTGACGGCGCTGGCGGGGAGCCTGAGTTCGGCGTGGCGCAGCCGCGGGCTGTTCCCTCGCGCGAGTCTGCGCGCGATGGCGAGGAGACTCGCTGTCGTGCCCGTGTCCACCTCGATGGTGAGGTTCTCCATATTCGATAAGCTCAAGAGGGAGGGCAGGGCTGCATCGGCGGCGTCAGTTTGCGTGAGAGCGTGCGAGGCAGCGGAATTCCCTACCCAGGTGAGACGGGACGTGGATGGTGAGCTTGCGGACGACCGCCATGAGTTTGGCGAGAGCAGAGACGCGCAGCGTCGTGCAGAGGCCGGGGGTTGACTCCACGGAGTCGTCCCGGCGGAAGATGAGCTCCTCGAGGGTGGTACACGAAGGAGTGCTTGCGATGTAGTGGAGGAGCACGTCCTGACAGTCTTCCTTGCCTGCCGAGGTCCATACTGACAAGGAGTGGAGTGCTGGTCGAGGGCCGCGGTGTGGTGCAGGTATGACATCGATAGGAGAGATCGGGAAGTGGGTGTCGATAACGACGAGGTCGCGCAGATTGGGGATCGCCTCCATGGTCCGTCGGAGGAGCGAGAAAGCCGGGGAGTTGCACCGCCGTAGCTCGAACTTGGTCAGCGCTGTGAAGGTGGGAAGCGAAATGATGGCCTGCTGCGCCGTCGCGCAAGACCAGGCGATGCCGGCCAGGGCGACGGTTTCGAGAGCGGGGACGCGGCCGGCCATGCAGGCGAGAAGTGGGGCCAACGAAGGCGAGTGCTCTTGTAGGTTGCTGTCTTCTTCCAGGAAGAGCGTCCGGAACGGAGGCAGGGACACTGACAGGGATGTTAGAACGACACGGGTGACGAAGAGATATGCTTGATGGGCTGCGAGGTAGCCGACATTGGAGCTGAGGAGGTATCTGCTTGTCGGAAGCCATCCCTGAGAGACAAGAGCGCAACGGAGTAGCGTTTGTCTATCGCCTCTGGGGTCGAGGTAGCGTATGATGTGGTCTGAGACCTCGGGAGGGACGCGGGGAGACCGTCGGCTGGGGTCGATGATCATGTCGAGGAGTAGGGGAGGGGTTCTGGTGGTGACGAGAATCAACGTCGTGCATCGCCTGATGTAGCTTTCGTGCGGAGGCGAAGACATGTCATCCGAGTGTCCACACGACTGGGACCTCGTATGGAAGCTACCGTGACCGTTTCGGATCCGTAGACGCCATCTGTTGCCTCGTGCAGGCGATGTACTTCAATAGGAGCTCACCCGTGACTCTAGTTGACAGGGCGGGGTAGGGATTGTGAAGAACAGGTTCTACGCGCCGATATTGCAGGGCTTGCAAAAAAGCATACTGATCCCCCGTTGACCGCCTGTTTGAAATAGGTTCGTTACACACGGAGTACAATATGGGCGGTTGAGACTCGACGTACCTCGGACGGCTGCATCGAACACTATTACCCCCGTTGTGGACGGAGGACACATGTTTGTCGGTCGGCGGCCAGCAGAGCAACCAGGCGCCGCCCAGGAATCAATCTGGTAGAATCAATCCTGTCGGATCGGGTGAGATCGACTCTCGGCGGCCCGGGGGCCACCGACCAAACACGCCCAATTAAAAGCGTCGCTCGAGGTCGCTCGGAGTCGCGGGCCCCCCGAGCGACGCGACGACCGTCCGCCTCATCCCTCCACGCGTTCTCTTACAATGTCCTGCCACTATCGCCCACTTCGCATCCCTGCCGGCTTCTGAGGCTGCTTGCCTACGCGTTTTCGTCTCGCTCCCGCAAGTGCACCCTGACAGACCCCGGTGCCTCTTCTTCGCGCACCCGGCTCGCGATCTTTCCAGTACTTGGGCTTATGCGAGTACCCTGTACGGAATGTGAAATCAAACGGAGCGCGCGTAGAATGATGACTGGGATAGGCAGCAAGCTCATAGTGCAGGAGAACCGGAACAGGTATAGATTCTCCAGGAATTCCTCTGCTGCGTGCGCATCGTTGCAACATGGCTCTTGTGCGTTTGTGGATGTGTTTTGCGGTGGTCTTTTTTGTATCCAGAACACTCTGTATATCACCTTTATCAATATCCTGCATCAAGCCCCTCGCTTTGAATTGCTTCTGTCCGTCTCGGATGAGCGTTGCCTTCGATGCCACCACCATGCACTCTCACCCGAAGTTCGAGGAGCGATGCACGAGGATGTACACACGGTAATATAGTAAGTGTACGCGCCGAATCTGACCCATTTGTCTTCTTGACGAGTCCAACGAGTCACGTCAACATTCGCCCCGACCTCCCTCGGCCTTTCGCTTTGGTCGTCCCTCAAGGCTCCACGATCTCCTCCAGCTCGCTCACACCACCGCGCGCGAAGCACGTTCACCGGGCCCGCTATTCTGCGTGGTGGGCTTGCTGGATGAATGCGTTCTTCCCCACTTTCTCTATCCGCGACGTCTGGCGTTACTTCGTCTCCGGATGCAAAATGGCGCACGACCACCCCCTCACTGGTCGCGCCGGCAAGGGTGTTTCTGGACTCAGGAAAGAGTAACGAGGTCGAGCTCGCCACGGTCCTGCCAGCGCCTGCATCCACACTTGGTCACCAATATACTGGTACTGCATTCACGCATCTCTACGTTCACCACTCGCTTGTCCTTCTCTGCCATGTACACCCATCCCCGATGTCACGAAGAGCCCTAATATTTGATGGTACGTCTGTCGAATTACAACTCGGAGACTGGGAGTTGTCTTATATGCGTCTACTAGACAGTAGTAATTCCTCCGCTCTTGTGTTAGCTGGTGTCCATGTGCATCATTGCCGCCGTCAACACGTATCACAGAATAGGTTCTGGATGGCGCTGCTGGATGACTCACAGACCCGACGGGCTGTGCATTGACGCCTCATGCCAGGTATATCAACGGAAATCGCCTCCTCCGATCTTGTTCCTTATCAACCCCGACCTCCCCCGTTGCGATTGTTACACCACTCAACATGGATGCTGAAAAGTACAAGAATGTCACCGTTCGTCGCGGATACAAGTATCACTACTACTACTCCCCGGCCACCGCCGGTAAGCCAACGTTGCTCTTCATCCAGGGCTTTCCGTCCACCTCTTTCGACTGGTCGCGCCAAGTCGCCCACTTTACCCCTCTCGGCTACGGCGTCCTCGTTCCCGACTGCCTCGGATACGGGGGCACGTCGAAGCCGACGGACTGGGCCGAGTTTCGCCACAAACTCATCGCGGACGACTTGGTCGATGTCGTCGACACCGAGGGCCTCGCCGACGTTGTCGCGATTGGACACGACTGGTGCGTCCAGTGTTACCTTGTCGTCCCCATGCGCGAGGCAGTGCGTTGCTGAAGCCGTTACTCTTGTCAGGGGAACCGCGCTTGTGTCGGCGCTGGTTCACCACTACCAGGACCGCTTCCACGCGTTCGTGTGGCTGGCGGCCGCATATTTCCCGCCCAACCCGCATGCGTTCGACCTCGAGCAGATGTGCGCGACGCTCAAGGAGGCTACCGGGAGCGAACTCTTCGGGTACTGGAAGCTCTTGACCGCGCCACACGGTGCAAGGCTCATTGAGGAAAAGGTGCGCCCGCCCATTAACGGCACGATTTGCGGCTGGTAGCGATTGATGGTTTGCGGCCAGATGGACAGTTTCTTGCAGTTGCTCTACGCGGCGGATCCAGATGCGTGGATCGAACATTTCTGCCCCAGCGGCGCGATCGACAAGTGGCTTGCAGAAGACCGCAGGCCAGGGCTCCCGAAGTGGCTCTCTGAAGATGTAGGGTGGTCTTATCGCCCTACGACTCGCGAAAGGCTGACGCCTGTTCATCCAGGAATACAAACACATCCGCAACGTTCTGCTGGAAGGAGGGATGACGTCACCGGTCAATTATTACAAAGTCGCTGCGAACAACGGAAACTTGGCCGATCACAAGGGTACAAGTCTCCGGCTGTGGTCCAGCTTATACGCCATCTCACAACCCTTGCCGACAGCTCTCCCGGAGGAGCAGTGGTACATCAAGAAGCCCGTGCTCTTCTTCGCGGCGACTCTCGACCACGTCGGTCGCCACGCGCCGAACGAGGAGACTCTCGCCAAGTATGCGACCAACGCCGAGATCATCGAGCTCAATGTCGGGCACTGGGTACAGTTGGAGGCCACCGACCAGATGAACGAAGGTCTGCAACAATGGTTGCTCAAGCTGCCGCCGGCTTCAGCGTCATTGATGTAGACGCGCATCAATGTCTATGGCGTTCCCAGTACATATTCCACTCTTCCATTCATCGTCGCGAGCTCTCACCCTACTTATCTCACACCGTCTACGAAAGTAGAGCCAAGCAATAGTAACTCGACTTCGACCTAGACACTCATTAGCTCGTGCAGGTACCGTTTCAAGGAAGAACAGTGGGTCTTGCGCACCTCTTGACGCGATCGCGAAGGCCGACCACACTCCACCTTCATTGCCCACACAAAATGGGACAATGCGCCCACCAATACCTCAACGACGCGCTCCCCCAAAGCTGCCGCAACGTCTGAAAACTGGCACCGGTCGCATCACACTCCCGTTATCCGTGTTATCGTCTACCGTGAGAAGGCGGAACGGAGCGCGGAGCGCGGGCGGAGCGAGCTCCGCGATCCCCGCGGTGAACGATGCAGTGGGAAGCACGATGAGGTTGCAGTGCAGCGCGTGCACGAGCAGAGAGAGAGAGAGAGGCGTGGTTAAATGAGAGGACGCACTCGGGCGCTACATTGCGGATGAAGGGACCCAGCGCGCGATGAGGGGGGAGACACATTTGCGATGTAGAGGCTGCAAGTGTTGACAAGAACCCTCATAGACATCTTGTGTCGTGTCGCAACGCTTTGCTGGGCAGAATTCGGGGAGGCGCGGCGTAGGTAGGCGGGATGAGGTCGCAGAGTACTTCCCACTCAAGTACGCGTACATAATGGCGTCTTGGAGGCAGCGGGTGAGTTTTTTGGCACATGTCAAAATGGGACGCACCGTACACGATTCGAACATGGGCGGCTGGGAGATCAAGTTTTCGGGGGTCCAGCCGCTCGAGCTGCGGTTGATTGGAACTCCGCCGTGTCTTTCGGCGATCGCCATCCGGCCAGACACGTGGCAACGCGCGTTCGAACTTGACTGGCTTGCCCTTCCCGTCCTTGTACACATCCACCTGATATTGAGACCCGATCCAGTACCACGGATCTCACGTGTCTCGGGGATGTGCATGATCTTGTGACCACGTCGTTCAAGAAGTTCCATCCCTAACCGCTTCGAAGTGAGCTCCGAGTAAGCTTCTCTCGTGTGCTACGAACGCGCCTCTGACTCAACCATCTATTGTATCAGTAGCATGGACTCGTCTTTCTGAATGGACTACATCTTCCGTCGCCGACACAGCTATGCATCATTACTACTCCTCGCTTGCCGTGCCCGGGAAGCCAACTTTGCTACTTTCCATCAGATTCTGCTCGTTGGTCTCGTCCAGTGACGCACTGCTTGAAGCCCATCGAGTACGGCCGTGTCGTCCCATACTACCTCGGATATGATGGCTCATCCAATACAGAGTCCCGCTGGCAACTTCTCGCTGAAGACATTGCTGAAGACTTTTGGTCGGGTTTTTCGGCACGGTGAGCGTGGATCTGTTCTGCAGTAACATCTCCACCGAGAGCTCACTTGCGTCATTTCCGGAGAGCGCGAGGCCCTCGTCCGCAGCGCCCATGAGTCACCGAAGCGTTACTACACATCCGCATCGATCTGGCCACCAAGGTGCGTGTCTCGCTCCGATTCGCTCGGCCCAGGAGGGCAGCTGATCACTCAGGTGCTCTTCAGCGCTTCAGATATCCGGACGGAAGCAGAAGTCAGTATAGTAAGGCGGTATTCACCAACTACGTCTCGCACGCTGAGATTTTGAACTTGATGTTGGTCACTGGGTGTCTCTTCGGAGGGCGGCGGCACAGGTGGGTGAGGAATCTTTTGCGAGCGAATCCTACACCTCTGTAGCGTGTGCGAAAGATGGTCGGAAATTATCATCTAGGCGAGGGCATTGTTTGAATATCCGGTGAGCAGCGTGGGGTGTTCGAAGGCGTTCATATCGAGCTTCATGATCATGGGGGGTGCCCATGTGAGAGTCGGCACACGTCATCGAGGACAAGCGCCGCCGGACTAGGTGCGTCAGCGCCGACTTGCTAGTCACTCTTGGGATTGGACTGCCAGCAGCATAATGTGTTGCTTGTGAGGTGAGCTACAATCGGTAACACTCGGACGTGCTCATTTCAAACGGTTGCTTCAAATTTACGTCTGATAAATTGCTTTCATCGGGTTCTCGACAGCCCGGCCTGCGGTATCTATCGGACCCAGCTTTCGGACGTAGCAAACGCTGACTTAATTTCCGTTCAGTGCAGGCTATATCCAAGCGTTCAGCGCCCTGCTTTTTCCGCGGCTGCTCTGCATATAAAAACGCATCGATCGTCGACCATCTTAGTTCCTGACGGCAACCACATCATGCAAATAGTCAACACACACCTGACGAGCCTTCTCGGTGAGTGCGACGCAAATGAAATCACTGAGATTGCTTGCTAAGGTGGCCCGTGCGTCCCCCAGGTACTCGCGTGCCGATCGTATCTGCCGCGATGGCAGGCGCGGCTTCCACAGACCTGGCGGTATGTGCATATACGCATGCACAAACCCTTTGACTCACCTCTGTCTGCCAGGTCGAAGTTACACGCGGCGGCGGTTTCGGTTTCGTCGGTGCAGGTACTACCACCTACCCCGCGCATTCGTCCAGCCTCACTGACCCAGCACGTCCGCCCTCAGCGTTCGATGCCCCCGAAAAACTCGCGGCGGACCTGAAGGCGGCGCGGGCGTCCTTCCCCGACCTTGCGCCCACCGCGCCCACGCCGATCGGCGTTGGGTTCATCGGCTGGCTGCTCGACACGGACGAGGTGCGCGGCCGCGCGCTCCTGGCCGCGGCGCTCGCGAGCAACGTCGCCGCCATCTGGCTCGCGTTCGGGGTCGACTTGCGCAAGTGGGTCTTCGCCACGCGCGACGGCGCGGTGCCCCCGGGCGCGCCACGCCCGCTCGTGTTCGTGCAGGTGACGTCGGTGGAGGAGGCGCGGGTCGCGGCGGAGGAGTGGGGCGTGGACGTCGTCGTCGCACAAGGTGCGCTCCTCACTCGCGTTCCGCATTTCCATTCGATATCTGACCGAGATGTCGTGCGTGCAGGGAACGAGTCGGGCGGGCACGGTGGTGCGGCCGCGCCTCCCACTTTCACGCTGGTCTCCGAGGTCCTCGCGAAGCTCGGCCCGTCCGGTCCTCCCGTCCTTGCCGCTGGCGGACTCGCCACTGGGGCACAAATTGCGTCGTGCCTCACCCTGGGCGCCGCGGGTGTGGTGCTCGGCACGCGTTACGTGCTCACGCCTGAGTCTGTGTACCCCGCCGGTGGCAAGGCGCGACTGCTGCGCGCAACGGGGACACACACCGTGCGCACGCTTGCGCTCGACTACGCGCGTGGGACGTACGGGTGGCCGGTGGGCATCGACGGGCGCGGGCTGCGGACCGCGATCGTCGACGACATCGAGAGTGGGGTGGAGCATGCGGAGGTGCAGGCAAAGTTCAAGGCGGGGGACGAGGGGTATACGGTGACGTGGAGCGGGACGGGGGTCGGGTTGATGAACGAGATCAAGCCTGCGAAGGTGAGTGACAGCTTTTGCTTCATTAGGCAGGGTTGGAGGCTGACACGCGATCTTAGCAACTCACTGAGGAACTGCATGCGGATGTCGTGAAGGCGTTTCAGCGCACACAGTCATTTTTCGCGGTATGAAGTTCGAATAGAGCGGACCACTTGATATGTATGATATGTAGCAAAACGACAAATTGGGGCGCAGGGCATGGCAGACGCTCGCATATGGGTTGTCTGCTTGTGCAATTGACCCTTCCCCGAGTCGTCTTCATGCAGTCGCGAGTATAGAGAGCTTGTACGAGTCTGGAGAACCAACTACCGAATTGCCTACGGATCCGTGGCCCACGGACTGCTAATTCCTCCCGCACCCAGCGGAGAGCTTGTCTCCGGGAATGGCCGCGTCGCGTGCTCGTGCGCTCAGTGACGAAAGGAGGTACGGCGGCTCTGCTCGGAGTCAAGAGGCGCAAACCGGGCCGAGCGGGCATCAGCATATGCATCAACTCATCGATCATCGTCGCCATCCATCCTCGTCCTTTGCACCCCCTCCGACATGGCCATCGACCCCAGCCGACAGTCTCCCCGCGTCCCTCCGGAGATCTCAGACGAGATCATAAAACACCTCGATCCAACAGTGGACAGAAAGACACTCCTCCAGTGCGCCCTCGTCTCCCACACCTGGCAAGCAGCCAGCAAATACGTCCTCAGTGCCGAACCCGGGTTCCTTACCCTTGAGAACGCCTACATTTTTGTCGCACGGTTCTGTTCCACTCTTGATCCAACAGTAATGCATCAGCGTCTCATAATAGCGGTTGAGGGGTCCATACCACAAAAGGACCACTCACCATCGTTCGGTGGACTGCTTGTCTCTATTGCTGTTCGGATTCCGACTCTATACGCTCTCTTCGTATTAGACATCGTTTGGAACACCCCGAAGCAAAGCATCCCTTGCCTCTCATCATTTGTGGCGCTCCACCTTCTGCATCTAAGCGACTGTCATTTTCCGTCCTTTTCGCTCCTACGACGCACCCTCGCCACCATCCCTAACTTGGACGAACTCATCATACGAAATGTCCTATTCCCCATTTCTCCGATAGATACCATTACTATATCATACCCATGCACAAGGCCAGTGCTTACCATTTTGGATGTGATATATTCATCGGGGCAAGAAGGCCACGAGAGCGTCCTGCTACACTGCCTAGCAAGCACTCCGTCACGCACATCCCTCGAGAAATTGGCTTTACTCTCCTATTCGAAGCTACCCCCTAGTCTCTTCGCCAATCTCCGTACCGTCGCTCTTCGCAGACTGATGATGGTCGTCGACGACCTCAGCCTCGAAGCTGCGTATTTTCTCGGTACGACTTCCAGTCGCCTCGCTCGCCACAATGCATGCTGACAGCACTGACTTGCGCGGCGCAGATCAGCCCTCCATATCCAATTTACCACGTGTTACACGTCTCACAATCTTGGCCACCAAGGGCACAACAGCGAATCTGCTCGCCGTCGCGCGACGACTCGTGCAAGGGAGTAGTCCTCGTCTGCACGACATCGAATTCTACTGGGACGCGGAGGCCCTCACCAGCGCATCACCCGCAGCCCTCGGCGAACTCGGCGAACTCACATCATGTGCCCCGTTTTCGGCAATGAAGACGGCAACCTTCTTCCTGGATATGGAGCGCAGCTGGGACGGGGAGGATGACTATCACATCGCGGTGAAGGCGGCGTGCGCGTGCGTGGTGGAGATGCTGACAGGCGCTTTGCCCGACTTCGTGCGGAAGACCCAAGTGGAGGTGGACATGTACGGGAACAGTCATGCCCGCGTTCGGATGCCGGTCGTCTCTCCGATCCCGCCCCCTCCTGCGCCATCTCCGTGAATCCCACCCCGAGGTTCCCACCGTTGACAGAGCTTTCTCGCCTTCTCCCCCGTGCCGGACCATGCACCCCTCCCCCAATACACAATTTCAGCACCCCGATCTTCTCAGCCGCTGACAACGTCCCCCGCCCTCCACCTCAGCACAAAAAATCAATTCGAAGTTCATGAACATCCCCGCCCACGTCCGCCGGCGTCAACGCTTCAGCGCGTCATCACTAGCACACACCGCTGCGCCCCGGCATCGTCCTCCTCGGCGCGTATCCTCCTACAGACCTGCCGTCTTCGACATGCATCGAGAACCTACCATTGGGGACCTCGCGCGCGTGCGGGAACGGAGGGTCGCGGCCCCCACCCCCCGAGCGACGCGCTCGGGCTCGTCGTCGCGGCGGCTGCCAGGTTTACGGATCTGTGCGACGCTCGTCGTGTGCGATTCGGCCGCCGTGATCCGCGGGAATGCGAGGGCTAGGACGCGGACAACGTCGGGGAGCGTAGCGTGCCCACGCGCTGGTCGGGTGTGTCGGGAGGACTGTGGTCGCTGTCGAGCCCCGAGGATCTGCGGAAGGTGGGAGAACTTCAAGTCGCGCTGAGGGAAGCAGTCGAAGGCGACGGGCGATGTGAGAATATTGGCGCGTTGTCTGGGCAGAAGGTCTGGATAATCATGGTATATATTTTCCGTTGAGGAACGACATCGTCTATAGAAGTCCATAGACCCCAGCTGCCAAACTAGTGCCGCGGTATATCCTAGCGCTGACGGGGTGCTGTTCGGTGTCGGTCGGCGGAATCCTCTGCACTGTGAAGAGGTCTGTGCGACGTACCTCGCTCATCTTTTCCCCCAGGAAGTGGGACGCGACTGCAGTTCCGCGATCAGTGCAATCACATTCATGAAGCGTCCAAATCGCGGGTGTCTAACATGGCGGAGGTAAATCTGCGCGGCGCGTTCGGCAGTTTATGCCTAGATTACTGGAGGGGCAGCATAGCGGGCGACTGCATGCGGACCTTCCCGAACATGGGGGAGACGGGTACCCATCAGTGAGGTTCTCACGAATTGGGACACCGAGCCTGAGGATGAACTGACCTCTCGCGTGCTGGTGCGACGAACGGAACCGCGCTCGTTCTTGACAGCGTCGTGTGTTCAGGCGAGGTTGGTGGCGTTCTGGGACCGTGCCACGCAACGGTGCGTCACCCTTCTGATCTATGAAGGGAGTAGTAAGTATAGAGCTGGGCACGCCTGATGATGCGGTCATTGCGAAACTCACCCTGCCGATGTACCGCGGCGCAATGTCCGCCGGCCTTGTGTGATGCTAATGCAACGATTGATAGCCAGTGTGAATCTCTATCGTCATTTTCGCCTATCCGACCCCACAGGCAACGCTCCCGTCACAGTTTCCGGCACCCATTTCCACAACACACATCCGGCAGCGCGCTCCATCTAGACACTCCTCACCTCGGGGTGGCTGTCTAATATGAATAGCTGAAAGTATACGCTCTCCGCGGCTGGCGTCCGGAGTGGGCGCCGCGAGCTCGTCGGGAGCCGTGTGCGGTGCTCTCGTGAAGGTGCTGTCAGGGAGTGGAGCGTTGTACAATATGTAGGCGGTGGACGATGGACGTACCTCGGACGGCAGCTGCATCGAGCACCATTGACCCCTTTGGTCCCGCGGTGTGAAGAGAAATATACAGGACAGGCGCAGTTCAAACGTTCATGCTGTGGACGGAGGGCACAGAAGTTGCATGACGTGCAGCGAGCGGCGGGTGCGGGTCCCCGAAGGTTTGTCCGGGGTAGAGGCTAGTAGAGGAGGAGGAGGAGCTACAGTGCCACAGTATGTGTGTCAGAGGTCAGAGAGCAGCTGCCGCCCAAGAGTCAATCTGATAGAATCAATCCTGTCGGATCGGGTGAGATCGACTCTTGGCGGCCCGGGGGCCGCCGACCAAACACGCCCAAAGCGTCGCGAGTCGCGACGCGACGACCGTCGTCCGGCGTGCCTCATCCCTCCGCGCGTTCTCTTATATACGATGTCCTGCCATTACCGCCCACTCCGCATCCTTACCGGCTTCTGAGGCTGCTCTTCTACGCGTTGTTGTCTCGCTCCCGCAAGTACACCCTGACAGACCCCCCTTCGCGCACCCGGCTCGCGATCTTCCCAGCACTTGGGCTTATGCGAATACCCGTGATACGACCGTTCAATCAAACAGAGCGCGCGTAGAATCATGGCTGGGATAGGCAACAAGCTTGTGGTGCAGGAAAACCGGAACAGGTATGGATTCTCCAGGACTTCCTCTAGATGTGTTTTGCGGGGTCGTTTTTTTGTATCCAGAACACCCTGTATATCGCCTTTATCAATCTCCTGCACCTAGCCTCTTGCTTTGAGTTGCTTCCGTCTGCCTGCCGCTCGTCTCGGATGAGCGTTCCCTTCGATGCCACCACTCTGCACTCCCGCTCGAAGTTTAAGAAGCGATGCACGAGGATGTATATACGGCAATGGTGAGTGTATGCGTCGAATCTGACCTATTTGTTTTCTTGACGATTCCAACTAGTGCGGTGGGCTTGCTGGATGAACACATTCTTCCCCACTTTCCCTATCCACTGTGTCTCCATCGCGAAGATGGGCACCATCAGAACTCGCGTCGCCGCGTGCTCGACGACATCGAGCTGGGTCACCGCGGTTATAAGCGATATCTCGAACCGCACTGCATTCGCTAAGCTGGAGGAGGGCAGGTTCAAGTGGGGTGCCAAGGTGATCGAAGTCTCATTGAGCGTGGTGAGTTGCGCTTCCTTTCCTCCCCTTCCAGGCCGCTTGGCTCCACGAGACACCTCGCATTTCCCTTCCTCGTCCGTCTGCTCGCAACGCACTGAGCCCGTGATACTCCACAGCATAGCTGCGTTTATCAGTCTCTCGAGGCCATAAGCTCGTCGGCCGCGACGTTCACACCATCTGGCGATACTTCGTCTCCGGATGCGAAATGGCGCACGACAACCCCCACACTGATCACGACGGCGTCGAACTGCGCATGTGTCCGCGCCTGCATTCAGGCTACTCTTCATCCACGGCTTCCCATCCACCTCCTTCAACCGGTCGTGCCAAGTCGCCCCTTTCGCCCCTCTTGTCTACGGCGTCTTCGTTCCCGATTGTGGAGGATACTGGGGCACCTCGACGCCGAGGGCCTCCCCGACGTGGTCGCGATTGGACACGAGTGGTGCGTCCGGTCTGGATCTATCCCTATACGCGAGGCCGTGCGTTGCTGAAGCCGTCAATCTTGTCAGGTGAACCGCGCGTGTGTCGAAGCTGGTTCACCACTACCAGGACTGCTTCCGCGCGCTCGTGAGGCTCGCGGCCGCGTATTCCCCGCCCAACCCGCATGCGGTCGACCTCGAGCAGATGTGCGCCACGCTCAAGAAGGCTACCGGGAGCGAGCTCTTCGGGTATCGGAGACTCTTGACCGCGCCGCACTTGTCAAGGCTCGCTGAGGAAAAGGTACGCTCGCCTATGAACGGCACGATTTGCGGTCAGATGGACAGCCATCTGAAGATGTAGGGCGTTATTAGTGCACGCCCACTAGCGAAAAGCTGACGTCTTTCCATCTAGGAATACAAGCACATCCTCAGCGTTGTGCTGGAGGGAGGGATGACGTCACCGGTCAACTATTACAAAGTCGCCGCCAACAACGCTCGCGGGCTGTCGTCCAGATGATACGCCATCCCACAACCTCCTTGCCGAAAGCTCCCCCCGAGGAACAGTGGCATCAAGAAGCCCGTTCGCGGCGACTCTCAATCACGTCGGTCGCCACGCACCAAACAGGAGACTCTCGGAAAGTACGCGACCGACTGGAGCTCGACATCGGGCACTGCGTACAGCTGGAGGCCACCGACCAGACTAACAAAGGTCTGCAGTAATGGTCGCTCAAGCTGCCGCCTGCGTTAGCACACTCGATTTGTGTTTGTATTTAGGCGCGAATCAACGGAGTCGGTTGAGTACCCTATGACATGTTCCACTCTTCAATCAGTCATCGCGAGCTCTAATCATATTGATGGTCGTCTATGAAAGTCGAGTCAAGCACAAACAACTCAACTGCCGCCTACACACCCATCAGCTCGCGCAGGTACTGTCGCATGGAACAACGGCGGATCTTGCGTACCTCTTGACGCGGTCGCGAAGGCCGATTGCATTCGACCGCGCGCGATCACTCTCCCAACTCTACTCTTCGACTCCGTCAGACACAACGCTCGCCCTCGCCGACGATCTCCACCTCCACCTTCGTCGCCCACACAAAATGGGGCAATGCTCTCGCCAGGACCTCGACGGCGCCCGCCCCCAGTGTCGCCGCAACGTCCGGCCCCGGTCGCGTCGCGCTCCTATTCTTTGCGTTTTCGTCCACCATGAGAAGGCGGAAGCTCGCGCTCCGAAGACCGACAAACGGAGCGCGGAGGGCGAGCGTCGCAAGCTCCTCGATCCCCGCGGTGAACGATGTGGCGGGATGCCTGACGACGAGGTCGTGCAGCGCGTCGCTGGTCTCGCCCGCGAGGGCACGCAGGACCGCTCGAAAGTCCGCGGCGGTACTGTTATGCATCGAGATCTTGAGGTTCGCCGTCCCGTGCAGTTTGGAAAGGGAGGGCACGTCTACGGCGGTGATGTGAGTTTCCGCTGAGGACGCGGGAGTCGCAGTGAAGGCTCATACCGGTGTGGGACGGAACGGCTATGGTGACTGTGGGGACATCCCTCATGATCTCTGCAAGAGCGGTGGTGCGCTGCAGCGTGTACGGACGTGGGTTTGATGCTCCGGGGGACGGCCTGAAATGGAAGTCGCTGATGTAGGACCCGTGTGTGCCACATCTGCGGATAGTAACGCTCATCGACGCATCGACCGCAGTCGGTTGACAAGGCCATCGCCACATTGTGCATGGCATGACTCGCCTCTCCCCTTGACCGCTCCTTGCTCCCATGTCCGTTATCGACTCCCACTGGCCGTGTCCCCGCGTCCCACTGAGTGTCGCCGAGAATATCATACGACAACTTTCACCCCGCAACGACAGACAGACGCTTTGCGCCTGTGCCACCGTTTCCCGCACTTGGCTCCCTGCAATCAGATGGCGTGTCCTATGGTCCGGAGGCGCACGGCTCGCAGTTGAACAAGCGGATGTATTCGTGAGTATCATTTAGTCATAGATGTCCCAGCGCGCATAGAGACTGGCGCCAGAATCGATCATCACCAGAAGTGTTACTGTCCTCGCTCGCATGGCTCACCACGCTCCTGTCCTTCCCTCCCAGGTCCGGGGGGATATTGTCTGGACTGCAAGTCCCCACGAAAGCATCCTCGCCGTTTCGACATCCACTTCTGTCACTGCACTCTATCTGATCTGCTGCGCGCTGCCCTCTTTCTCATCCCTTCGTCGCACCATCACCTCCATTTCGACCTTGTATACCTTCCGCGTCCGGGGCCTCCGATTTTTTGTGCCTCCGACGGACACTGAGAATCAATATCTCGAAGAATCCACATCACTTCAACACTTTGAAATCCACATCGATTCGGAGTCCGACGAGTTGAGCGGTGCAAGACGATTGCTGAAGTGGCTGGCCAGCACACCAACACGGACCTCCATCACCATTCGTGTCCTCATGAAGCAGCTCACGAGCCTAAGTTACAGCCCTTCGGTGAAGCCTTCGACCGCCATTGATCAACTCCTACGTGTATATGGTAGCAAAATCTTCTACAGTTATAATTTCGCGACTTTTCCGGACTGGGCCCGTTAGTAGTACACGGCTCACGCGCCCGTGACGCTTCCCGCTTACCTTCGCGATTCATTCCACAGAATTCCCATTATTTCGTCCAGGCCTCGAGCACTTGCAAGATCTCACACTCTGTCTCACAAACGGCAGTCCCAAGGACCTCCTGGCGCTCGTATGCACACTCGGGGACGGGTACATCCCAGAGCTGCGCAAGCTCACACTCGCCCTTCCTCAAGTCGCGCTCTCTCGTGCGGTCGAGTCCCTCGCGACACTCGCGGAACTAGCCAGGTTGATCGGGCGCAACCGTTTTGCTGGCTTGGAGACGATGCCGTTCACCCTGATCGTCGAGGACTCCGAGGAGAGCTGTTGATTCCTTACATTATCTTATCTCATATGATGCAGCTCGAGGACGGACGTCCGATACTGGCCATACCTATTTTAGTTTAGTTGGTACTGTACAGTTCCTCGGCTCTCTCCGAGACGCCCCGGCACAGCGCTCGCTCGACCGCTCGCCCATACCTCAGTCGCTATTGTCCCCGACTGAGGTATGTTTCTATTCATATATTGTTCCTCTATTTCTGTACTTACGTATCTTGTACCTAGCTCGCACTCACACTGTGTGTCGTTAGGTACAGCAATTCAGTCGCTATTGTCCCCGACTGAGCTCGCACTCACACTGTGTGTCGTTAGGTTATGAGCCCTGTCCGCGTCTAGACAGAGCGAGCTCACCTACACGGCGGACTATACCCGTGATCAAATACGCATCACGAAGAGGAGCTGTCCAGCTCCTGAATGCCCAAATCCGACCCGGATCCAGACCCCACATCCACTCCACCGAGTCCCGGTCCGATGGCAGGTTCTTCTGGCGCCGGATCCTCGCCGGACGCGTGGGTCATCCCTTCAATGTCCGGTTCTCTCCCCACGACGCATCCGCTCACCGGAGAAGAGACTTACACGCCATGGTCGAAGAGGATGACAGCTGCGTTCCGACATGCCGGAGTTTGGGAGGTTGTCCAAGGCAGCACCCCAAGATCGACCAGCGACACTGCGCAGGCCGCCGAGTGGGACCGGAAGAACAATGCCGCATCCAGCTGGATTCTCCAGACGGTCGACGCAAGTATCGTTGTCACGATCGATCTCGATAAGACAGCACACCAGCAGTGGACCGCGCTCAAGAACGAATACTCTCGCACCACCATCCACTCCGCGGTTGGTTACTTTTCCATTCTCAACTCTCACTTATCCTCCGTCAACGGCCTTGAAGATCACATCCGCGCCTATCAAGATGCCGTCTTCCACATCCGCGCTGCAGGATTCGACTTCGCCGACGACCTCGCTGCGGGCCTTTTCCTGGCCACTCTTCGCGATCAACCGGGTGAAGGCACACAATGGAAGTCTTGGGCGGCCACCATCCCATTCGACTCGACCACCAAGACGACCCTCGAGCACGTCACGGTCGGCGCTCGCAACCAACGACGCCTTGCGCTCGGTATTGCGACAGCCACGACAACGTCGCAGGATACCGTCATGGTCACCAACATGGAGGATGCCTATGCCGCCATCGACCGGTTCAAGCGTGCGGGTAACAAGTGGTGTTCCTACTGCCGCCGCAAGAACCACAACTACGAGGAGTGCCGCACTCGCAAGCGAGCCGAGGCGTCGGGCGGAGGTTGGAATAAGGGGAAGGAGAAGGCGAATGTGACGCAGGAGAAGAGCAACATCGGCTCAGAGGGCGAGCACTCGAACTTTGTACGCAGCGACACCGTTTTATTCACTTCCGAGTTCTCCTGCTACCCTCTCGTGTGCGCATCACCATTCATTGCCCTTCAAGACTCGTCTTCCCTTGCGCTTCCATCTCGTTCCTCGCTCCCACCTATCGTCATCGACTCTGGAACGTCATCGCATGTCCACTCTCAACGGGTGGATTTCGCCGATCTCAGCCCCTCGTCCTCCACTATCCACGGTTTCGGAAATGGCACGACCGCTGTTGAAGGTCGCGGGGAAGCACAACTCATCGCCGCCCTGCCGGACGGATCACGCACGCGTCTCCGGCTTCACGACACCTGCTATGTTCCCGAGTCACGTCCCAGCCTGATCTCCGTACCACGACTCGACGAGGCGGGCTGCTACACACTCTTTGGCATGGGTCGCTGTGTCTCGTTCAAGATCAGCGATGGTGGGGACCTCCTTCGACGTGCGCTCTCCCGTTCCGACACGATTATGACCGGGAGCAGAGGCAAGGACCGCCTCTACCACCTCGATTTGCCTAAAGACATAACGTCGTACCACACAACGGACGACATGGCTTCACGCGTGCTGCTACTCGCTCACGGTCGCCTCGGGCACCTCAATTTCCACACTATTCGCGCCATGGCACGGTCTGGGCGACTTCCTGGGATCAAGCTCACGCCTACGCAGCTGCGCATCCCCGACCCACCCTGTCCCTCATGCGTAAAGGGCAAGATGACACGCGCGTCATTCCCGCCATCTTCTGGCTCTTCCGGTGCGCATCCCGTGCGATGCCTGCAACTCGTCTCGATGGACCTCTGGGGACCGGCTCCCATTCAGACTCGGTCTGGGCATCGGTACCTCATCACCTTCACGGACCACTGGTCGCGCTGGGTGTGGGTGGGTTTCCTGCGCCGCAAATCCGAGGCTTTTGACACGTTCAAGGAGTGGCTTACCCGAACGGAGCGCGAGACGGGACAGAAGCTGGACACGATTCGCGCGGACAACGGCGGGGAGTTCATCAACCGCAGCTTCTCTGAGCTGTGCGTTTCCTCCGGCATCCGACTTGAGACGTCGTCACCACGCACTCCGGAGCAGAATGGCGTAGCCGAGCGCCAGAATCGTAGCATTTTCGATCGCGCTCGGACAGTGCTCATCGATGCCGGACTCCCTCTCTCTCTATGGGGTGAAGCGGTCAACTACATCGTGTACACGAAGAATCGCAACCCTACGTCCGCGCTGCCTGGTCGCAAGACGCCGTTCGCTGCGCGTTTCGGACATCCCCCAGACTATGCTTTCCTTCACCGTTTCGGATGTCGAGCCTACGTTTACGTGGGTGATGTTCCCTCACGCAACAAGCTTGAAGCACGCGCGGTCGAAGGTGTATTCATTGGCTACGCACCAACGCAGAAGGCCTACCGGGTGCTCGAGCCGTCCTCCTGGCAGCTTCACTCGTCCATCCACGTCGACTTCCATGAAGACATCAATGGGTGGCCACGACGTGGTAACAGCGCGCAGGCTGAGGGGGAGCCACTCTACGACTCGTTCTTCTACCCTACTGAGGGAGACGACGAGCCTCCGAACAACAGCCCGCACACTGCAACCACGTCTCAGCCTGCCGACGCGCTACCAGCAGAACAAGAGCGTGCACCGCTACCACTGCATCGTGAGGAGCCAAACGTACCTCAGCTGCCGCCTCCTACAGACGTTGGAGCACGTCCACGAACACGTCGCACTCGACGCGAGAAGCATGGAACCGAGCCTTCACGACGATCGACACGCATCATGGAGCTGAAAGCTACGAAGAACCAGGCTGCACGTGTCGAGGACGTCCCGGATGAAGGAGACGCTGCTCCGCAAACCCGTCCGGATGACGACAACGGAGACGAGCCACACTCCTCCAACGAATCCGAGGAAGAGGTCGACGCAACACTCTTTCTTGACGCTCTCCTAGACCACTGTTACCTCTCGACTGGAGAAGAGCCGAAATCCTACCAGTCTGCAGTCGACTCGTCAGACGCTGAAGAGTGGATCGCTGCGATGATGAAGGAGCTCGAATCGATCTCAGCCCTTGGTACCTTCGAACTCGTCGACCTCCCTCGCGGACGATCAGCAATCGGCACCAAGTGGGTCTACGCCTTGAAACGCGACGCTACCGGCCGAATCATCCGCTACAAGGCTAGACTAGTTGCCCAAGGGTTCTCGCAGAAGCCGGGTGTCGATTTCTTCGACACTCATGCTCCGGTCGTCAAGCCTGAGGCGATGCGAGCACTCATGGCCATAGCTGCCATGCTTGGTATGGCCATCCACGTCGTCGATGTCGACAGCGCTTTCTTGAACAGTGACATCCCTGAAGATCAGGAAGCGTTCGTGAAGCAACCACCGGGTTTCGCGCAACCCGGACTCGAACACTTGGTCTGGCGCATCAAGAAAGCGCTCT